CTCAAGTCATATAAATCCCACTTAAAAAATGGCCATACATAAAGCAAATATGACTTATTAATCACTTTAACGCGTAATTTATCCAGTAGCAGTCTTCAGATTGTGGAACAAAGCACTTTTTCCTCGCCCCATCATCGTAATGAGCTGAGAAGATTACTCACCATGACCCTGACGGAGGTGCTACAGTGTGTTTGTGTCACTGTTACATAAGTACCCCCCCTCCTGAGGTCAATAGAGTATAGAGGAGTCAGTGTGTGAGACAGGCTCAGGCCCTTAGGGTCTCTGTGCTCCAGTCAAGATCACGTCATGCAGGTGGGCCCACTCATTCATCTTTTAATAGAGCGGCTCGCTGCTCTCATGGCCTACATGCTGAATTATGACAGTGTAAATATTAGATTTGTCTGCATCTGTTTGCTGGTCTGGTTGTGCTAATAGTACATACTTTTGCATTATCCTGTATGATAAGGGGTTTGAGATTCAACTTGTAACTTAAGTGTGTGTGTGCACCTTTAGGTTGCAGAGCATTCTTAGAAGCAGAGTGCTTCTTAGTGAGGGCATAAGTGTAAGATACATTACAGCAGTCAGACTGTGCCCATTACAGTGGCTTTCGTAAATTACTGAAAATTAATAATGTATTGTATTGACTGCTGCAACATCTAAATCACCTTTAGGGCTGCAATGATTCTTTGGAGTGACTATGCTTCAGTGTGTACTAACGCTGCATTTTTAGATGAAAATAAAGCTTTAAAACTGGCTTTCAATTTGTTCAGCACATTATTTAAAAAAACATTGTTCCTGTACTTTAAATTCTACATATGGCAAATGTATGTGTTTGTTTTGCAACACTTGACCAAATCACAATGATTTTCTGACAGCTGCTGTGTGCAAGCGTGTGTGTTCATGCCTGTTTTGTGTGTGTGAGTGAGGAAATCAATCTGACCCACGGGATTAGTGGCTGACTTGGTGAGTGACCCTTATTCTGTTCCAGATGTTTATCACGTCATAAAGCCTCAAGCCCTCTGCGAGAAATAGGTAGGAAGTTAGGAACACAAACTCCTTTCAACACACAAACACATGTCCCAGCTGCAGCCCGAGTTGTAGCAGTGACAGACAGACATGTCGATAAGAATTGTATCAGCCACTGGCGCGCGCACACACGCACACGCACACACACACACACACACACACACACACACACACACCCTTTTTAAAATATTGATATATCTAATCCAGCCTGACCTCAGAACAGAGCTGTCATATGTCTTATCGTTTCTTCTTGTTATCACTTGGTAAAGCATAATGATAGTAATATAAGTGCCAAGTCATATCTAGGGAAATCTCATTTTGAAGTGTTCCCTTAGGCATTTGAAATGTATTTGATATGAAAACAGTTGGCAACTTCATATCAGAACAGACAACTCCACATTCCCTTTACTGTATCAATTAAAGAAACATCAGGTCTAAGTCATAGCATGTTCTCCTATACTAAAACACCAGCATACATTTAGCCTTTAGAACACTGTTGCGCTTGTTCCACCGGTGCCAGTCGTGCGTAATGAGCTCCCTGTGGCTGGAGCGCATCAGCTGGCTGTACAAGAAGAGGTGTCAGTCATAATCCACATACAGCTTGAATCTTTACAGTTGCTAAATTCTTGTTACCAAAATAGATCCCAATCTACCTCGGACAAGTCAGAACTGATATTCAAATGTTGCAAAGAGGAGTGCATTCCTTTAGGTTTTTAGTGTGAATTAGTGGACTTTTAAAGAACGGATGGATATTACATTTTAAAAACAGAGACAGCTGTGCACATTCAAATATAAGTATTTACGCAAATTTTTGCTGAATGCGTCTAAAGCAGGTTCGCTTGGAGCAACTTTGGTGGTTTAAGGGTTATGAATGACGAAAATAAATTAACTTTGAGGTAAATGGGTCGCTGGGACACTAGCCTCAGGTTGCATTCATAAAAGACACTTTTTCCCAGTAGCTAGCGAGAGGTTCAAACGTTGATAATCCTCTTTTATTTTTGGATCAACTTTCATTGAAAGATCTAACCGAAGCAGGACGTTTAGACTTTCAGTGCAACTTCTATTCAAAAAACTATCTTTGATGACGCGCTTAAGCCAGCAGAGGAAAATGAAAAGTTCTTACCGAGATACTGTCGGATGTCCAGCAGGATTTTAGGGGGTCCTCCGTTCAGCTGGTAAAACAGAGAGGCGAAACAGAAGAGGAACAGCGTAGCCATGCAGAAACCATAACCTCGCAAGGAAAATCGCAGCGGTAGGGCAGAGAGTAAGCTGTACTTTCTGTTGTTTCGCTCTCTAACGTGGTTGGTAGTCTGGTTGTTGTTGCTGTGAAGGGAACTGCTGCTGAAATTCTTCATCATCTCCTCCTCACAAAGTGCCGTGAAAAGTCACCCATCCGCATGTGGAAAGTGAAACTTGTCGCTTAGAGAGCATTTGAGTCGGACGGCCAGTTGTTTTGGAGACGCGCAGGCTCTCCTCAGCTGCCGCAGCCACGGGGTTGTTTTCTGCGCACAGCGTTTCGCTTCTGCTCGGTCCCTCTCGTTTGCCCTCGTTGGATAAGTGTTCCTTCCTTCCGTGCTTCCAGCAGAGTTAAGGGTCCATCCTTCTGCTCGGAGTCTTTTGGGTGTCAGATTACTGAACGTGGAAAGAGGAAAAACTTCCACTTCATACAAGATTTGGTTTGGAATCAAGTGCATAAAACAGCGTCACCCAGTGTTCGGGGAGGGAGGGGGCAAGTAGTCGCTGGGCATTCATTGAAACGAGTTTGATTTGAAGCAGCCAAGAGACTGATAGGAGACTGTGGAAAGAGTTAACTGCGAATTTACATGTTTCATTTCAGTGAAGTGGAAGTCTCATTTAGTGGTAGCCTTATCCTTAACCAAAGCCTCGACAATATGATGACAATAAAGGTCTATAGTAGCTTATTCATGATTTTGAAATATGACATGACATTGAAATGTCTTCATTGTTAATAGAAACACCACAGTGACCTATTTCCTGTGGTTATTATAAAATGGAACAGGCTGTGTTATCACTACATTAGATACGGGCGTATATCTTTGATGTGTTGAAAAGAAGGTGAGATCAGTATCTGCTCACTTCTCTGTGTTTGTGGGTGTGTGTGTGTTTTAAACTTTCTCCTTCCCCTAAGTCAGCTGTAAGGAACACTGAGCCATATATTTTTCCACAGCAGGGGCCAGAACCCACCATTAGACTACAACTGCACTTAGGTGACAGACAACCGTCATTCAACACAATAACAACCTCGTCTGAGACTTTCACTGGTGACGGATACAGTAGTCAAGGGAGCAACAACGGCTGTGAGAAACACTTTGGCTTAAAAGACTAAATGTATTAAAGAACACAATCATTCTACGATGGGCCCATTGCCTCGGATTTTCCTCAGGTAAATTATCTGTGAATCGTAGGAGTAGAGTATTTTTGCAGGCTAAGCAGAAAAAGTGTGAATTCATTATGGGTTTATGACCCAATCTCCCCTGCAGCACATCAGTTTATTACACAGTAAGGATGTCAGTAAGGTCGCTGTTGTAAACCAGGTTTAGAACTACTGACAGTGGGACTACATTGTTTTGTATTTCTGGTGTCATTTTACCTTTATTTTGACTGTGGGAAAAAAGCAAAGCACCTGAAGGAAGCATGCACAAACTGACATTAAATGTAGTAAACAGTGATTCTACCCACCTGTTATTACTAAGGTTGTGTGCACTCTGCTAACGTCATACTAGGGTAAACATTATTATTGTAAAAGTAGTAGTAGAAGGGGAGAAAATAACTTCATTTTGGCTGCAGGACAATCACACATCTGAGCATGGCCCACTGCGCTCACTTTAATGATCTTAGCCTTGCATAGTGAAAATCAATAGGATCGTGTGCAAGGGCAATAAACATGGGGGCTACAAATTCACATATTTGGATTTGCCGTCAAACTTAAGTCAGACTTCAACAACATCACAAACTTTTAGAGGAACTCCTTAAGTTACTTCAGATCTCTCTCGAGGGAAATTAGTAGCAAGTGAATGTCCCAATAATGATCAATAAAAGTGTGACTCACCTTTACTGGTGAGGAATCATTGACATCATAATGAATAGGTTCACTCACTCACACATAATTATGAAATAATGATCCTGACACAAACGCTCAAAACTGATTGTTTGATTTATTGAAGGAATATTGAAATTCATTCTGAATATCTTTGCTTCTAAATATTGTGATCCCACAGCAGATTCTCATCATCGATTGTATACGGACACAAATGAAGCCGTGCATGAACGCCGCAGAGGAAAACGGTTCAGAGTAATGTGAATAAACCCAAGCCAGAAAGCCTTCATTGCATTACGGTCTCCTCCTTTCCTCCTGAGAAAGTTTAAAATGGATGAGCAATTGTATCTGTTGGAGAGAGAGTCGTGAAGTGGAAGCTAACCGGACATTGCATCTGTGTGAAGGACACTTATTGCTCAGCGGCTGCTTTCTAAAAAGTTACTAACCAAGGACGACCAATGAACAAGTTTTGTTGCTTTTCTTCCTGAAATAAATGCTTGTTCAGTTGTGTTTGTTTCCACTCAGAAGAATGTTAAACACCAACGCAGAGAGGAGTTATGAGAGTTAAATCTCAGAGGCAGTCTGTTGGGACATTTTTATCAAATTGGGTTCTCGGTCTGGTGCCCACCTATTTGTGGCTTTTTGACATGAATAAGATTGGAAAATCCTTTTTGTGGTTTCATTGATAACAGCTGCTCTACAACACGAACCAGACTCTCCTGTCTTCGTCCCGATGAACAGATGTGAGAAGTTTTTTTTTTTTAAATGATGCATTACAAGCCAGACAACGCAAAACACTGTTTTTGAGCTCCTTGCTTTGACTGTCTAGTAAGTGTGTGTGTGTGTGTGTGTGTGTGTGTGTGTGTGTGTGTGTGTGTGTGTGTGTGTGTGTGTAGTGACAATCAGAAGGCCAGTGTATGGCAAGAAACAGTTTTTTATTATATTTCAGAATGACAAATAGGTATGGACATTACTTTTGTTGTTTCAATACACAAGCAAATCTGTATGGACAATCATTAGGTAGATGAAAACCAAATAAAATAATTTGTACACATATTTTACAATACATACTGTAGTTCCTCACTGGCTAAAGCAATATGCATTTTGCAGGAAGGTATTGCTATTCATATAGTACAGCTAATTACAGTCAATATGAAAATAAAAAGGCAAAAATAAGTTATATAAATATCAATTACATATACAGAATGTGCAGGTTTTGCTAAGCATTTTATATATGTAATTAATCATTTATTTTTACAAGACTGCAAAACAAACTGGAAGTGAGTAACTGGAACTGGTTAACCCGTGGATGTTAGCAAACTTGGCATTGGGAACTCAAAAATAAAAATAAAATACCAGCATATCCTACTGAAACCCTTTGAAATACCTGACAACAATTGTCCATTAATGGACCTGTGAACAAAATGTAGCCAATTCTGCCTACAAAACAGCTAGATTTACCCTCTAAAGTGCATTTACAGTGTCAGTATTTTCATTCTTTACAAAACACTTCTTGAGTCTCTTACTTTAAAAAAAATGAGCCCCAATCACGCTTTTTCAGAGAACCACTTTGATTGAAAAAATAAAAGGCATCAAACATCTACCTATCAAGTGCCCACTGCAAAAAAAAACATCCTCTAATTTTAGCAATACCACTTGGTCAAATTTTAAATATGAAGTCTTCAGGTCAGCTCTTGGTATGAAAGAACTCTGTTGTTAGAAATAATAGAAATAACACACACATGTTAGCTCCATTTTATGCAGTGTGAAATGGAAGAGCATCTGGTTGCTTTTGTTTTCTGTTTTTAGCCCAAACTTTAGGTAACAGGCTATCCTGACACCGTTTCCCTGATTTACAAAACTATTTAGCGAAATGGTGTATGCTGGCCTTAGAGGTCAGATTTTCACCTGATAGAACTACATCTATCCTCAATGTGTTTTCTATAGCTACAGTATAATAAAGTCCCAAACAGCTTATTATCAAGCTATAAATCAAAAACTAAAACACTTTAACCAAAGAGTAGACAGTCCAATAAATTCCAGATATGAAAGCCGAGATGTCAGCCGTCTCTTTTGAACATTTCTATTTTCTCCCACAACCCTCTACATGGAGCAACTGTGTGTTTAGCATGGGACGACGTGTGTGTCGTGTCTGGGGTTTAGTCGTTTAATTTTCATGTGATCTTTGAAACCACAATCCATCAGAGGCATGTTTTGTGCTCCACATCCATATGTGTGGCTGAAGTGATCTGGTTGAGTGTGACACATTCAGAGCAAAAAGGCTTGAACTTTAAGCAGTTCAGCCTGGTGGTATAGTCCATACTATACAGGGTTAATGAAACTTTTCATTCATAATGGTAAGGCAACTTAAAACGTTCTTGGATACACAGGGAATGTTTTGTTTCTGTGAAAGCTGATTGTGATTACTGAAGCTTTCTCGAAGACTTATATTCAAACGGGCGCCGGCTGTGCATCCAAGATATGCAGTGAGATAGGACTTTTAATAAAATGTGAAGTATAAAGCTGTGATGTCAGCGGTTTCAGCTTAGAAATGACTGAGAGCGGGCCTCAAAATAAGGCTGCAACATTCAAAAGGCAAACAAAATGTTTAACATAAAAATCATTTTAAAATGAAGATATGCGTTATGCTATAATACAGAAACATGATTCAAAATAAGCCATCTCAAAACCACCGTTCATCAAAGTTTGGTGTATGTATTTAGTTGATAAAAGTCCAGATATTAAGTGAATTTTGTCATTGTGAATCCATTAGAGCGAATGAAACGCTGAATGAGGAGTAAATCACTTTGGCCGAGCTACTTCCTTAAAAGACAGTCATATAACGTTGCCTCGCCACAAAAGATGAAAACGAAGCACTTATGAAATATGCAAGAAGTAAAACGTCTTTCTGTATTTAAAAAACATCCATCCTACAAAAGAGTGTGCTATCTTCCTTCAAGGCAGATCCAAGTCTTTATTTTAAGACTTTGGGGGTGTCTTCAGAAATGAAGCCATCCCACAGAGTGAGTCTACAGTCTTCTTTTAAAAAGGCATCTGATATCTTGACTTGGCTGTAGGAGAATCTCCACAGTGCCGTAAACATTTGAGAAAAAGAGTGATGAGGAGAATCAGAGAGCAGGGAGGCTCACTTTCAGTCTTTGACACATGCGAGACAGGAAGTACTGCAATGCTGCGGTCACTCGTTCGATCTGCGAGTCCTGTGGCCGATTTGTCTTTGGCCGCATACTGACCATGTTTAAAAAAAAAAAAAATGCTGACCAGTGAGTTGATACCTGTTATTTTATCCAACTGCAGCAGCATGTTAGGACTGCCCCTCTCTGTGGGAGCCAACCAATCGGGCCTCGCTGACCAGGCGGCGGGCGTGTCTCTCATCTCGCACCCCTGCCTCCCACACACCGCTCTCTGTTAACAAGGCCACGCCCCTCAGCGTGTCGATTCCCGCCGCCGCCAGAGGTGTGGCGTACATGGGGAGGCCGATGGAGGTGAGCCAATCAGAAACTGTGCTGATGTTAGCTGAGGGCAGAGGCTTCCGGCACATTTCTGTCAAACCTCCAGAAGGAATCTGAGTGACAAAATGGGGTAAAAAGGGATGAGTTACTGTAGCTACTCTGATGTTGTCACTTTACTGAACATACATTTAGATTAGTGTTAAAAAAGCATTAATTCACCAAATCTGCGACCATGTACGTGCATGAATCCAAGCATTCAGACACACAACTTGACAAACACTTGACCTTCATGCTTAGTTTGAGCCTCCTAAGGCGAAAACTGTGGCTGCCAAATGGTGGGGACATATTTGTTTTGTCCCACCAACTGACTAGAGCTTTTCAGGCAACTTTTTTTTCTGCCAAATCATGCCATCGATATGGGGTAAAGATAAACCTATTAGGACAGCATTAGTCTACTAAAACCCATAATACATAAATAATTCCCTTTTAAAAGTATATCTCACCCAGCTTGTTTAATGTTTAAGCAGGCATAATAATGATAGCTTCTCAATCAGGGGACCATCATTGGCTGGAGGGAAATGACTGTTATAACTGGCCAGTCTTCATTGTTAATTCTTAGAAAAGCATAATTTTTTCTAGCTTTATAACTCCTAAACATAGTCTCCATCGATTTAAATGTCTTTTTGGAAAATCAGTGCTGTTCTCTTACGGCCATGCGGTGTTGTTTACGGAGCTCTTTGACTCGGAGCTGGTCCAGGGTGGAGGCCACGTCCTTCACAGGCTGCTCCAAGTCCTCGGAGTAACGCTGCACCAGCGGCTTGGGGATGCCACAGCGGCCATGCTGGAGGAAAGACGGGAACAGAGGGACATTAGACATATACAAGCTGAGCGGGGAAAACATTTCAACCATAAAAATAAACATACATTTACATTTTCAAAAAGAAGACTTTCTGTCACATTTTGATGTTTCAGAAAGCAGTACAAAGGCAACCAGTGAGACAACATGAAGTGTTCTGATATTAGGGATAATTTTTGACTCATTACGGTGATAATGAGGACACAGATCGGGTTGTTCATGAACAAATGAAGCCGGCTAATAGCATCAAATTACCTCTTTAAGAACATCATCTGATTTCAAGAGGTGTTAGCAAATATAGACACTATAATTCAATTCAGGTCAGTGTCCTTTTGTTCTGGCTCCTATTCAAAGTATCACTGATAGTACTTTTTTTCTCACAAAAATATGAGGGTGAGAGAAGAGGAAAGAGAGAAAGATAAAGGATTTTAGCAATTGTATGAACAATCGCCGTGTGAAGGATAGAGCCAGGCAGAAAGCTCGGCTCAACTTTTTGAACATGTTTTCTTGTTCTTTCTCTCTTTGTGTAGACACCTGGAGAAATGGCAGGTTTCCAGCTAAGCCTGGTTTTGGTTGGCTGAACTGGACCGGAGGTCTTTTGAGGATCAAAGGGTGGGTGGATGGAGGAACTGATCTCTCTGGAGAGCAGGTCATACAAGCCTACCGTTCACTCTGCCTGGGATAAACACGGCCAGATGGCTTTAGGTCGCCAACAATGGACACATTTCAGAATGTATAATGATGTTATCCTCTTTAAACATGTGTAGGGCAAGGGCTGGATATAATTTGAAATATTCTATTCCCTCCCAATATGATTTCTGAGATTTGATCGCTTTACTACAATGGTACTGTTTTGAGCTTTGAAAAGACAAAAATATCTTATAAGGAGTAATATAAAACATTCAAAGCATTTCATACTTTACTGTTTGAAATACTCAATGCTATGGACACGATTAATGAAAAAAATCAGTAGCCAGATTATATTATCATTCTCAATTATTACAAAAAATGCACTGCTTAATCAGCAAACTATTTTAAAATGTTGTCTGCAGTTTTAACCTGTGTGACCTTTGAAACTATGAGTGCATTTACTGTATTGTGCAAACTCCCGCCCTCCATGTTTCTACAGTGTGGCTCTCATGTCCCTGCTAAACCACTTCTGACTAACAGGAATCCACCAGGGCTGTGCTGTGGTCCCACCCATATTTCTCACCTCATCTCTTGATGCCTCTGCGTGTTTGTTGTTTTCATGCCAGTGTTGGGGCTCCACCATGTTAAAGGGGCCCAGCCCGGGGTCTGGCGAGTGGCAGAGGGTTTTATAACCCTGTCTGCCTTCAGTAAGACTCAGCTTATAAACTTAATAGTCTGAACCGCATCATAGTAAGTCTCAGTCCTTAGTGTTTCCCTGAGCTCCAGGCAGCGTACTTACTTTTGTGAAACACACACTAACAAATGCACTTGCATAGAAATAAGAATCTGCACACAAAAAGAAACGCACAAACTTTAGACTCTATTAGTTTCTATTTTTAAACTAAATGAGTCCCAAAGCAAGCTGCTGGTGTTGTTGGGACAGAGTAATTTAGATCTAAGCTGCAGTAAAATTATGACTGAGTCAGGCATGTTACGTTGCTAAACTCAAAGAGCCTGACGCCAGAAAGTATTGCCCTGAGGAGCCCATTTTCAAATTAACCATGGAAATATGACTTCATATAATTAAGTCATGTTTTGGCTCAGATGTTTTTTTTTTAATAGAACACCTTACCATATATACTTTAGTGCGTATATGTTTATTTTAATTATCAGCATACCAACTTATGTGAGAGTGTATAAAGATTTCCTAATGTTTAAATAATGAAGGGATCAAGTTTGGTGGTCTTTTTACTTTGAGTAGGAGGTCTTATTACCAACATCTGGCCACATGGTCTGAAGTCTATAAGGTTGTATCAACTGAATAGATTTTATTTCTGTTTAGTTATTGATCTGCTTTAAAACCAAAATCATTGCAAATATATTGGTAATAAGATAAATTGTGAGGTGATTCTTCATGTCATGGATTAATGGAACTTTACTAACCTTGTCAGAGTAGGGCTCCTCAGTGAGATCGATGCCCTCGGCCTCCAGCCGTTGTTCCAGGAGGGTTAGCAGGTCAGGGCCCATCTTGGCATGGGAGACCTTCCTCGCAACAGCCACCTTGCCCCCCAGATCTGAGAACCACGGGGGCTGCACAGCTGGGGGAGTGCCTGAGTCCTCGCCCATGGAGGAGCAGGAGGAGGAGGAGGTGGCACAGGGGCTGGCAGGGGTGCTGGGGCTCTTGGCAGGCAGAGCAGGGGCCCCGAAGCTCGGGCTGCTGCTGCGGATTACAGGGCTGCTGGGGTAAGAGCGGTTGAGGGAGTGGGTCGGGGAGGGAGTGGGTGATGGTGAAGAGGGCAGCGAGAGAGGGGGGTGACGCAGGCCGTTGACCAGTCTTTCCCTCGACTTCTTAGCAGGAACGGGGGGAGGGACTGGAGGCTTCTTGGCGTGAGTCCGGATCACCCTCTCCCCACTTGACTCAGGCGGACTTGGAGTGGGACTTGAGAGGAGCTCTGGAGGACTGCGGGTATGGGGAGGGGGACGAAGAGGCAGCTGGGAGGGCAGGGGGGGTCTTCCTTTTGGGCTCACTGTTGGGGTCCTGCTCTGAGCTGGGGAACCCTCATCTCTGCAGGCCTTGGTGGGGCTACTGCTGCCTGATTTAGGTTCTTTCTTGGCACTGTTAAGCTCCACACTCAGATCCTTCTGCTCAAAGCTCTGGTCCCAGTGCATATCCCCCAGAGAGTGGGAGCGCTTCCAGGGGGCGGTGGTGTGCAGGGGTCCGTCCAGGTCCTCACAGCTGCGGCTGGCCGGGATGGGGGACCTTTTTTGGGCTTTGCGCAGCGCCAGCAGGTTGAAGCCCTTCAGGGAGGGTTTGATGAAAAAGCTTTTTGGGAACTTGCGCTGGTTCTTGTTGTTCTGCTGCAGAGCTTCTGTTGAGAGGGTCATGGGCAGGGTGGGGTAGTCGGGAGAATGGAGGCCGGCTGAGGAACGACTGGAACGGGATGCCTTCCTGCTCTTACCTGCAAAATAAAAACATTGATCTTCTCTTAGTAATGACATCCAGACACTTTCACCCAAGTGCAACCAAGTCTTTGACGATTACAAGTTTGTACCCCTCTTTTGTGAAATGCTAACAATCAAACAGTTACTCCTCAGCTTGCTACGGCCATGACCTCATTAGTATAAAATAAGATCCATGTGAATATGACTCAGCATTACTGTATTTTTCCACATGGCTGCCTTTAGCCCACACTTTTGTTCCTTTATTTATGTTGGATCATGTATTTATAGCATTAGAAAAACAAGCTCACTTTTCTTTTTTCAAACAAAGCTAAGTAGTTTTATATAAAAATCTACTCTTAATCATTACATCCTTTTTGTTAAATGTTTACCTGTAAACCCCAGTCAAAATCAGAGACATGTTTATGAAGAAAGGGAGGAGGCCCCCCTGGGATATAAAAATATTTTTGCCACGAGACCAAACTCGCTGATTTGTTGTTGTCATGGCAGCAATCACAAATACAGACATCTCGACGGGAAGTTTCAGAAAACTGTGGAACAAAAGGTTGAGGCAACTTACCATCTCTTCTCTGGCTTACACAGCAAAATGGAGGGGTGAAATGGACGGGTTCCACATAGTGTGGCTTGCCAAAGATTTTTTAATGTTGGAATGACAGAAAGGAGTTCAAAAGATGGAATGTCTCATGGTTTCCCAGTTTCCCATGTTTGGCCAATTTGGATTGAGTGGTGATAAAACATTAAATTACTTAAATGTTCCAATAAATGCTATATTTACTTTAATCACCATGTTCACTTCAGACATTAGATTTTTAAGATACATTTATGTATTTTACAGCAACATCATGAGTTATATAAGATATAATTGTCATCACTATGATTTGTTTTATCAAGTAAAATATAATAACAGTCTGCAGAGTGCAACACAATTAACATGATATAACATTCATAACAATGTATTAATATTTACATATAAATATGAGTAATCAAAGACTAATTTAAGATGCATGAGTTATTTTGTGTTAAAAAAATTATAATCTAAAGATGTGTCCTTAACATATGAGAATTAGTATGTGGATCACTGACTGAACATAATCATGATCTGCCTTTTACTTTACTGGGCACCACACTGTGTACGCATACGAAAGTGACGAGTTAAAGTTGATCAAATACAAAAGTTATTTGATGATGTAAATAAGAATTACAATATAAAAAGTTAAAGTAAAACTAAACACATTTGTTTAAAGAAGCTGTTTTGATTAAAAGAGCATCAATTCAGGGCTCAATAACTTTTCCTCAAAAGGAGGAAGTTTGAAAGACATTGTCTGCATAATGTATTTTAAATACTTTCTATGTTTTACATTTCAATCAAATGTTTTTGCCAATCAGGAATATGCATTTACATAGCTGTGATTTTAAGGAGCCCTGAGACTGCAAGAAGAGGTGCAGAATGTTCACTAAATGTTATGCAGCTGGTTTGCGAAAATAGTGTTTAGTGGCATGGAAGGAAAAACAGACAGAAAAAAGGTGAAACGTAAAAAATAAAGCAAGCAGCACCAAAGTCCTTTTTTAAAGAAGTGGCTTTTATTCCACAACTTAAATCTCTACGTTGGCAGATTGCACGCTTTACTTTTGAAACTTGAATCAGACATAGAAACATAAAAAGGAAACCAAGTAGTAACTCTGGAAACCAACAGATATAGAAAGAAGACATTTGACAAAGCAGTGATTTATGAGTTATGGAGCTGTTGGAAAGCATGTTAGGAAGAAAGCTAGCATACAGTCCTATGTAAGAGGATAACACAGTTTCAAAAATAAAGAAAAAATAAATCTCACAAATAAGACCTCAATAAACTTCTATATTCAGAGCTCTTGCACAATCAATATACTAGTATTTAAAAATATGTTCATCTTTTTTTTAGGCACATACTGTCGATTGTTTGTGCAACATGGTCACTATAAACACAAGAAAAAGTGACAGATTTAAATAGTAATCAGTATTTAGGCATCCAGATTTAAATGGCAGGTGTGCTCTGTTACCTGTCTGGTAAAACATTTTAAATCCTAATGAGCCTATAGAATCACCACTGCAAATAAAACAAGCATTAATGAACATGCTACTCTGCAAGCTTGTTTCCTATATTAAAAACACTTAACAGAAATACTCTATTAGCCCATATTCGTCCTGCCGGTATCCTTTAACAAGCCGTGCATCCACAGGCGGAGGAGCAGAGAATCTGAGTCCAGGACTGGGCAGTGAGTTTGTTCTGTGCACTGGGGGGGGTCTCTCCCTCTGTGCTCCCAGCATTGTGGGGTGGACTACGCTTAGTGGTCTTGGACCGGGCTTCCTCTCAGTTACAATTAGACTTTGGCACTGATGACACAGAATGCCTATAAGATGGAAAGACGGGTGAAGAAAGTAGAGTGAAAGGATAGTTAAAGTCTTTAGAGATTGAGGTGATAAGCAGTTCTTTTTCTACAGCACCGACTAGAGGAGAAAAGGGAGAGGTTTGGGGGAAGCTATGGCAGACAAAGGAGCTTTCTGGATGGCAGGCGCTGGTCCAAAGGAGGGAGATGGGTGAGGAGTTGTAGAAGCATGGAAAGAGATGGAGCGGGCGCCCACAGAGGGAAAAGGAGAAGGAGTCGCTGTGTATAGCTAGGCCAGACCCAAACTAGGTCCAAGCCTAGGGTCTAGCTGGTCTACACTACAAAGCTATCATTACCATTCTCCAGGTTCTCATTGCTCTCGTAGCAGCCGGAGTCTCGCGGGGAGTCTCCCACCAGCCCCCGGCCCTCAGACAGCAGCTTCTCCTGGGAGCCCGACAGGCCGCTGCGCTCTGGATCACTGCTGCCTGAAAATACAAAGACACACAAAAAACAGCAATATAATCAATATTATGGTTGAACATTATTCAAACACAACATTTGTTATGTTGTCTGCCTTTATTAGAAAGCCACAGTAGAGATTGACAGCTCATATTCAATGTATGGGTTATCCCTTTACAAATGATCAGGACTTAAGAATATATATATTACTATTTTCCCAGATATCTGTCTCAATAAATAAACATTTGTTTGATATCCGTTTTGCCACACAGCTGAACTGTACGGCGAAAAATGTTGTTTCACAGGTTATTGAAAAATAAAAAACTTGCAGCTGATCCACTTATTGCACATTGCAATGGCTATGACAGGGATGTACTGTCTTTACTTAGGAATGACATAAACCTATACAATTCTACAGATGCTAACACAGATTCTTGCTTTAAAGTGAGAGTTCCTGCAAATAGGTAGATTTTGGGCAGATTTTAGTGAGACTAACCAGTAAAACGCAAGATCTTAACTCCTGGTCGTCAACCTTAATCAAAATAGTGTGGAGTGTGTTCTCACACGTTATTTCGACTTACTGTCATACTCCTGTAGCAGCTCTACGGCGGTGAGCAGCACGGCTCTGTGTTGAGGATCTTTGATGTTCAGCTCATCCAGATCCTCCTCTTCCAGCAACTTGAACGTGTCCAGGTCCTCGTAGCCGTTGAATAGGAAAGTGGGCATGTGCTCCTATTTGAAATAAAGGTCACGTGTGAGTTTAAACTTTCTTTTGAGGGGCTAAGAATGATTATGTCATAATAAAACATACACTAGACTAAATAAAAATAACCTTTGGATATGAGTCATTAAACCAGTGAAAAAACTTTGGGCTAGAAACATTAAATACAGACATTGAGGTGAGGCAAGAGAGAAAAAAAAAGGGTTCACACTTGTCATCTGCTCATAACTTACTTTCAAACCAGTATATTTTGAAATGACTGCTGAGTCAAATCTAAACTGCTACTTAGATTTTCAGATGGCATGTAATCACTTTGAGCCGTGACTAATTTGCTTATGGCTGCCTCAACTGTCAACACACATTAATATGGCATACACTTTGTCATGTTGGCAGGCAAGTAAAACTGATTTGTAGCAACATGTACCAATGGAGTAAGAGCATGGAGTGAGCAGCCACAATCCCAAGCTGTTCTAACTGTGACCAAGATGGCAAACAGGACTTGAAAGGAAAACCAGCCGACTTAATGTGGCAACAAGAAGAACCGAATGTGGAGACTGTTACATCAAATCATTCCTCAACCACGGAAGGCAACGTTTTACACACCAACACAAAGAAAACACCAAAGCTAGTCACTCAAAACCACCCTGTTATCTGAGAGGGTGCAAACCAACAAAAAAGAGATCTAGATACGCCCTGTGTGCACAGTCAGCTCACACCACCGTTCAACACAGTCGTAACTGCTTCTACTTCCAATATTGCTTGGCTTTATGTTTGTGTGACCCACGCACTCTGTTGGATGAATACATAGACTGTGTGTCACCAGTGAGACCATCAATTACAATGGTGGAGACCTCACAAAAAAACTGTGTGTGCTCTATTTCTGCTGGATAATACAGGACTAAACAAAGGACCACCGACTAACAAACACAGGCAGCGGTGTCCTTTCACTCACACTTTCTTGTGTCTTTTGGCCTGTCAAAAACCCAAACACATTTCAAATCCAAAGATCATTTCGCAGAGCCCTTCTCGCGCAACAGTTACATGAGTATGGAGATTAACACTTTATGGCTACAAACAGGCATTGTTGGTGTGTTCAAAAACATAAAGCTGAGGAAATATCTACACTAAAAAAGATGTGAGGCACTTTGAGGTAGTTTCTTAACATTTAATTTGAAAAGAATCCCCTCTATAAACAGGTGAACATTTCTGTCCATGGAGAAATGGGCTATATATAGAAAAAATACCTATTGTTCGTCTACATAAACTTGTACAAATAAATACTTGATTTAAGCTCTAATACCTCTGCTTTAATCCATTTTAAATGTATTGGCTGTGAAGTTTATGCTTAGGCTTGGATGTGAAATAAATTGGTCTAACTAACTAAAAAGAAGAAAAATCCCTTTTTGTTGACATAAGTTCAATAACTGAACGCAAATGGGGCTTGTAAAGATAATGATCTTTGTTAAGAAAACTGTGGGACTGGAATTTATTTATACTTTTTCATCATCAGCACAAACCAAGAGAAGTAATAGTTAAAATGTACTGGTACACTGGTTTCAACCAGGAAACGTAACTTGTTGTTTTCGTGTTTAGTTTAATTCACCCCCGTTGTAGAAATCTGATGCTTCCTAAGGACACTCTGAAGCACTTTTGACACTTTTGGCTCACAGCTTAGAGCGCCTGTGCTGTAACATTAATAATCCACTCTGGATCTTTAATCTGTGACTCTCCCATTAGGCTGGCCGGAGATGAAACACAACGGTTTTTTTCCTTCTATTTGCGGAAGTGAGGCCTGCTGGCTGCCCGAGTGGGAGGAGATGATATCAAGCTCACAGCTATGTGTAGGTTTTGATTAAAGATGAGTGTTGTTTTGTTGGGGCGTGGTTGTGAGAATGTGGGTGTTAATGTTTATGCATCAGGGTAAGATCAAACATCCTGAGCTGTGTAGCCTGTAATTGTCTACGCTATATTTATCTCTGTTTTTCTGCAAATGTGTTTTGAAAATATTTGGCTAAGACAATATTTTCATTCACTCCATAAGATTAGCTTTCTCCTATTTAGATGGGTGAGACTTCTCAGTTTGGACAATTCAAGTTTGTACACTAAACACAATCAGCGTGGGTAAATCTACTCAACTGCCACTGAAAAGACTCTGTGATTTGACCTGATGCTGTAAATCCATTCAGTGTTCAACGCATGGCGACGCTGTACCTTGAGGTTGATGCGCTCCAGCAAGTCCTCCACTGATGAGGGCTTGGGGGGTCGGCCCTTCCTCCTTCTCCTTACAGGCCTCTTGGGTTTCTCCTCTTCTTCAACCAGCACATCCACGTAGATGAACTTGAAGGTGCCCACTTTGTTGTTCAGCAGACCCATCCACGTTCCCATGGGTGGCTTACTGATGACGTCAATCACATCACCGCGCTGGAAAATCACAAAGACAATCATTCAGAAAAAACTTAACTTTCTGAACCGCTTAGTAGTTAAAAATATTGAGCATTAAAAAAGTGAACCGTTTAAGTAGTAAAGTGTACATCCACAGCCCTCCAACCAAGCATTTTGGTCGGTGCATAATCATATCAAGTCCCAAAGTGTGTTTACCTTCAATTTGAGGGAGTCTGAGTCGTACGGGCTGGGGGTGAAGTCTGTGTGGACCCGGGCGCGGCCACAGAACGGCCCTCTGTAAGGCGGCTCTTCGTCATCACCATCCTCGGACTTCACGCTTTCTCTGTTACTGGCTGACGAGTCAGTGGTGCTCACAGTCTGACCACCTGGAGACAAACACACACACAGATTTATAGAAGATATAAAAAGATTGCCTGGTCACTGTATAAACTTAGTAGCATGCAAAGGTTTGGATTTGAAGTAGAAGGTAGGACGGGTAGTAGTACTTTTCTAATATTATTTTGTCAACGTCTTTTTCGTGTCTTTGTGTCTGCATTGAGAGGAGAACTTGAACTTAAAGTCATCAAAACTTGAACTAGAGCTGAAGTCGAGTATTTGGCCAGGACTCCCTAACTAATCATTACCGTATGTTTGTCTGCTTGTTTGGCTGCTTTTTCTATGGCTTCAAATGACCTAGTCGGCCAAGTCTTTAATTCACCACGAGAATGAGATGATGGAGGGTATTTTCTCAACAAAGACGTGAGTGAAACAACCGGTTTAAGCTATCAGAAGTTGTAATTAGATAAGATGAGAGGTCACTTGAAGCCTCGATGAGATCACAACACATGACGCAGCCCGTGGGACTGGGTGTGATCTTCATGGCCATCACTCCACAGAAATGATGATAAGTATACATGTATTGACAGAAGGTTGAGTAATCTGTATGAATTTGAAATACAAACCAGCAAACAGTAAATGTAAAGAGCACCATCTAGTGTTAAACATCACTCAAAACAGGTGACTTAAGCTGTACACCAAATGTCCCTGTTTTTGCATTACATATTTGTACATGACATATATGATGATGTAATGACACCCTAGAACTACATGATTGTGCTTTAGTGCTCCACCAGTAACCAAAGTGTAAAATAACAGTGGTTTGAAATAATGGAGGACTAATTGCTATGGAAGGAATGTTTTATGGAAGCAAAAACAATCTTGACAGCTTGTTCTATTAATCACGATGTCAAGAAACATACACTGTACTGCATGCTACATCAGTTTTGGGAAGCAGTTACTTGGATTATGTCTTACTCATTGAACTCTGTCCGCTGAGTGAACTTCGCAGACTTTCCACCGATCCTCCTGCCTTGAGCTTCGGCTTCTCCAGAGAGTCGGTGTCAGGCTGAGGGGACTGAGGGGACCCAGGGGCTCCATCGGGACTGGACTGAATGACAGAAAGATAGACAAGGGGAAAGGGAAGGGGGGGATGGAGGAGTGATAGGGGTTGTCGGTATTTTTTCATAAAGAAACAGATGTAAAAGTGAGTTTTCAGCCCCAATGGGTTTACCAATGTGAACATTAACCAATCATCAGCTTTGAAAAAAGTATGTAAATTAAGCAGCACGCAAATGGGGAAACAGTAATGTCTAATCAGTCTAATATCCAATTAGGATATATGATCAGCTGTTTATTAGGTGACACAAAAGATAGATCCCCCACGGTTTAATGCCCTGACATTTTCAGATGAAATCAAGTTACAGCAGTTATGGTAACATTTAGTCTGACATATACAATTATTTTGTTTTTTTTAGACCTGCATTGCATTATCTTGCATATGTTAGAAATAACACAATCAAAAAACTTAAGTTTAAAGATTTTAAGTATAAAAGAAAAAAGGCTCAGACAATACAAATGTTGTGTGTATTATCAACCACCAGGTGGCAGTGTGGTCTCAAACTTTGTTGAACAATTGTCCCAAGGCAATTAATTTCTATTCGCTCTTTTCCATCCAATGGCTCCATGACTATTGAAAGAATATGTGGGTCAGTGTTGAGACCACCATGATGGCCAGATGTTCAACTGTGCAATAATGACACACTCTGCAAGGTTACATGAAACTGGAGGGCTGGACAGGCCACTAGTAAAGCCACAGGATGCCTAAAGAAATTATGCCTGTGCAGTTGAGACAGCCATTATACTCTCTCACACTTCATTTCCAGAGAACTAGCCTGGGGGAGACTTGCATCACTCCATGAGCTCAGCATGAAGCACACACTCCACCCAGGGACAGCACAGCAGAGAGAAATCCAAATGTGTGTGTGTTTAAAATCTCCATGTTTATACTGTTACTAACACAAATACTCCCACTCCCTAACAGCCTGTGGACAGAAAAAGTGGCTTACACTGCAAAACATCCCATAAATGTTTGCAGAACATGGGGCACTTTTATTTTTTTAAAGCAGCCCTTTGCTTACTCTTTTAAGGATAAAAAGTATGGTGTGTGAATTTTTGAGACTGTATATGTTTAAGCTATCACATTTAAATACAGTTAAGGTTCGGATGTACCTCACTTGCCTGGAAAATAAGGGAAACCTTGATATAAACTGAACTTTTTGGAAATAAAGCATTACAAAATGGTATGTGTGGGTGTAAATATCTAACCTGCTCAGAAAAGGAGCTGCTGTACTTCTTCGACATGCGTTTCCTCATCGTCTCCTTGACCGACTTGACCTTCTTGCCCAGTGAGATCCGAGAGGTGGTGGGGGACTTGACCACTTCTCTGTATATGGCCTCCTGATCTTTATGCTGTGATCAGAAAAAGGGAAGGGAGAACGGAAAAGGAAGGACAGAGGGGGAGAAGGTGACGGATACGGATGAATCAGGAGTAGATGGAAATGGAAGAAGACAAAGGGCAGAGGGGGCACAAAAAAAAGAGGAGAAAACAGGAGAGAAAGGTGATTTAGTGTGACAGCGGGGTTCAGGTCGGGCTCTTCACAGCCTCTTCTAATTTTACGAGCTGCCGGCACTTACATTGGCCTCTGAGCCCACGTTGAGCACATGGAGAGAACGGTTAGACAGGTCAAAGCCCCCGAAGCTGCACGTTCTCTGTGGGGGAGCCAAAACACAATCAAATGAGTCACATTTAGAACGTCAGGTTACAGGAACTCCCCGTCCACACCCACTGAGGGTCAACTCACAATGATTCATGCTTGACACAACACAGGCAGCACTTTGATGAATGTACATGGGGATATGGTATGGTATGCGGGGGCATGACATCATATGGGACTTGTGGACAGCCAAAAGACATGATGTAACACAAACTGTTATACGAGCACCTCTTTAAAATTGCGGGTTACTGCACGGTTCGAGGCAAATGAGCTGTTATGAGCACTAAATTGTCTCCAACAAGTCGCTCATATTGTTTAAATCTTAAATCCCTGGATTAAATTAAACCTTTCTTGATGGGGCCAAGCTAAAATATATAGCCTTATTTTTACAAGATATATATTTATTACTTTTAAGCCTGATGCAAAATGTCAAGTGGTTAATTATGAAAAATGCAAAACAGGGCTTAGTATGCAAACATGCACAACATATAGGTTATTTGGAGCGGACAATGTGTTAATACTCATCAGAAACATTTTTGGGGAGGGTAAATTGTTTCTGCTGAGAGGACAGGGTGACATGGGGACTTTTTGGATCAACTGTGGAGGTCAACAGGGGTAGACACAACGGGAACTGTGACATGAGAGGCTTTGACTTCTTGAATCCTGCCTAAGCTCTGCAGTAGGTCACACACAGACATGTAGACACGTAGAGACATGCACAAATGCATCTGCCAAACAAGACTTTTTTCAAGTGGGGCCCTTGATAGCAGTTCTCCTTTTCTTAAAAAGCCATTACTTCTAAACTCCCACAAACCCTGGACGAAGATCCTCCATGTGAATGCATTGCACGTTCAAAAGATATGTTGTGTATTAGATGTCCACAGCTGCAGTCCACAGCACAACTTCCCAGGAAAAGCAGTTTGGTGAACAAACATGTTTGAAGCCAAGTCCAAAAAAAAGCACTTTGAATGTGATGGCGATGCTTGATGGAATGGACATGCACCCAGAAAAGAAGTCTCTCAAAGACAATCATAGGAAAGAAAATCAACTAAAGATTCAAACAAATAAAAATCACATCAGCAACTGTAGAGGCACGGGCCAAAGAAGGACACGAAAAGCAACAACAGAAAAAGTGGATTTTTTTTGGAGAGTTTTTGGATGAGAACGACCTCCGGTGATTTCACTAGAACACGATAGGATTTAGGTACCCTCAAAGTTGCGGGATAGCTCCACTGTATCACCACCTAGAGAATGTGTCCCTACTTCTGCTTATACACACACAGGCATTTCATATATACAGGGAGCAAGTGAGTCCCTTGCTATACAACCACACTGTTTTAATGCTGGTTGACGTTAGACAGAACTTACATTTTGCATTCACTGCGATATGAATAAGTAGTAGCTGTTTTTCTGTTTCCACTTCTCTGTTGTTATACACAGCCTAACACAATTAATTTGAACGTTTATAAGCCATAAGCAGTTGACTAAGGCGTTTCATTGAATATGTCTCTAAGGCGATGTACTGTGCAGTTCTAAAGATGAGCAGCTTCGAGTTTGTATAATATCCCTTTTGCCCACAGGGATCAGTGCGTGTATGCCAGTGTTCCTCAAGGATCTGACATTTATAAAAAAGCACTTACTTCTGTAACTTAACCTCATACGTGTGCCACTGCACATTACATAATCATTTTATATTCAGCTGAAATAAAAAAAGGCTTTTGGTGAAAGCCAAAGGCATTTACTCAAAGGTCATTGAAGATGAGTCCTTTCAGGGCAGTTAAGTCTGTGATAGATATACGAGCCCCTTGCCTTTTTTCTATAAATGAGCAGAGTTGCATTGGCAATGCTTTAACGTGGATTTCTTACATGGGCAATTTAAATGGATAGGTGGAAGTCATTTGGCGTTGCATGTGTGTTGTGTGTGTTTGCTGTATCTTGCCATATAACCTCTGAGCTATTCTGCAACTTTGAAGCACCGAGTCCTGCTCACACGAGGCGGTCGATTTAAACCTCATGGTCTGAACTCACAGACTTCTGCTGGATGCGCAAGAGCACTCGCTTGGTGCAGCGGTCAACACTGGCCGCCCACTTCCTGTCCCCTTCTCGGTCCTCCTCCAATAGACAGCGGCGCTCGGCGCGGCTGAGGGTAACGGGGCGGACCAGCTGGGCCCAGTTGAGGTGACCGTACAGGCTCCGCTCCACCACATAGGTGATGTTCAGCTCACTGACTGCCGTTCGACCACGCAGCCTGCGAGAGGGGAACACCCAGCCCCCTCCCCCACTGCCAAAACCTTTTGATTTGGCTACATCACAGCGGGCAGGGGAGGAGGGGGTGACAGACAGAGGGGAGATAGGGGTCTTGGCATTGCGCGAGCGTTGGTACAGAAGGTGCTTGGTGGAGTAAGCGTAGTTGGGATCAGGTTTCCGGTGCGTCCAGCTGCCGTGATGCCGGTTGGCAGGTTGTTGTTTGGGACTGCCTTGTGGACCGTCATCCAGAGAGATCAGGAGGCGAGACTGGGAGTGGGGTTTAGGGCGGGGTTTTGTGAGGCCATAGTAGGCGTAGAGCGCCTCATTGTTACTTACCCCATGGGAGATGGAGTTCAGAGCCTTCCGCATCTCGCTGTCGGTTGTGGAGCGTGACAGCTTTCCTTCTTCGTCCAATCCACAGCCATCCAGCTCTGAAAAGGAAGAGCCGCTGCCTCCTACGCCCGAGTTGGAGTCTCCCAGGACTGTAGAGCCGACTGGGGTTCTCTTGGGGGGTCGGATGAGACCGTGGCTACTGGAAGTTTTACTGAAGGTCTTGACCAGCTTGTGTCCGGACCAGGTGTCCAGGCTGCTGGAGGAGGGGGAGTTGGTCAGGCTGTCTGTGTCTCCATCCAGAGAGAGTTGATCCTGGGTGAGGGAGCTCTCCTGAGGCCGAGGGGGCCTCTTCAGGACCCCTGTATACAGAGCTGTGTTGTTCTCACAGGTGGGAGGTGACTGCAGATTCAGAAAATCTAGAAGAAGAAGACAGAAACCAGGCAGTTTGTTACTCAGGAGGACTTAGACATCAGATTCTGAGTAGTCCCATGACCCATCTGTGGTTTTCCAAACCTTAGCTAGCCAGCCCACATTTCAAAACACATTCTTAAAGTCTGAGTACTACTCAAAAGCCATGACAGATGAGAATGTAATACTTAGGCATTCAAAAAATAGATAATTTTTAACAGAACTAATTTCTAATAACCACCAGTTGGAAACATGGCTGAACTTAAACTTCTCTTTAGAGAGGACAGACAAAGTGCCAAAAAACATATTTTTATCATAACATTTTTCCAATAATGCATGAACATATGTTTAACTGTTAAATAATGCGAGGACGAAATGGAGTAACAAACCTTCTGAGCCATGTTTCTTGCCCTCCTCCACCTTGATGAGCTTTTTCCTGACGCGGCGCGTAGAGTTAACCAGCTTGTGAAGCCGTTTGAACTTCACAGAGTCCTCCGACTGCTCATCGTCTGACTGTTCACGAGACTGGTGGAAGAGAGAGCCAGAGGGAAGGATGATATGATAAAAATGAACAGACGGTAAACAACTACTCAAATAAACCTTGAGAAAAGGGAGGATCTTCTTTAGTGTACCATCAAATCAATGCAAGTGTAAAATAAACGTGTGGTTTTGTTTAAAAAGGAATTAAACATAAAAAATACTGGAAAAAAACAACATTTCATGATATTGAACACTCATGTTATATGTAACAGATGGAAGTATTGTTTAGGATGGAGTTAAAGTTAGTGAGTGAGAAATGGATGATTAGATGGATAGTGGCACACATCATGTTAAGTTCATAAATGTATATTAATAACTTGAACTTAAATAATTAGTACATTTGGATGAAGCAGTAACACAATAAATGTTCCAACTCTGCGTTGTGTTGCCTCTCAACTGAAGGACAATGCATTCAAACTTTCTGCACAGTGTAGTGGAGAGGAAAAGAGACCATAATGAATGAAGTCACAAACATTTCCATCATCCACACAAAAACTCCCCAAGCTGTTTGTGTTCGCATGTGTGAGTGCCTATTCTCTCTATGGTCCCCATGTGATGATGAGGCTGATGAGCCAAGCATTGGCCTAAAGATTGTCTGGCAGGAACTACCATCATTATCATGGAGCTCCAACAACTTCATTTGTTTCTATTTGTTTGTAGCCTTTATTTAACCAGATAAAATCACATTGAGATCAACAATCTCTTTTTCAAGGGAGACCTGCAATTTGCCACTGGTTTCCACAACAACACCACCTCTTTTGTCACACGCTGCCAGTTCCACAGTTGAGGTTGACTGCATCGCTTGCAAAGGGACACGCATTCATGCATCACAAACACACAACTAGACAGAGCAGGCCTGCAGGGCTCAGCACTCTGTCTTATGAAATGCTATCCACGGTTACAGCTCTAAAGCTAGCAGAGAAGAAACTGCTTTCTCGCTGTTGTTGACCACAGGCCTGGCTCTGAGGCAGCTGACATCCAGTAGGAATGATGTTAATAAGTGTGGCTTGGTTGGAGCAAACATCCAAAAATGTCCAAAAATCCTTAATGGCACCAAACCACCTTAGCAACATCAGGATATTTTTTTATTCTGCAGGCACAGTAGCGCTACAAAACCTTACAATTAGTTGCCAAGTTGGAAAAGGGAACAACATATTAATCACTGTGAAGTCCATTCTATCAAACATAGCTCCACTTCACCTTTTTTAGAGATGCGTTATCAACCTTTAGGTCTTCTATCATATCAGTTCAACAGACCAGAACTTGGGTATAGCCATTAATTTAGCCTCCCACAAAACTGCAGAAATAGTGTCTGAAAACCCATAACTCACTTCTCCCTCAGCCCAGGTCTCCATGACAATACCTCAGCTGAACCACACAATTCTGGCTAAAGCTTCAACTGCTTCAACTTTCCATTTGCTCTACACGATGCTTTATTGTATTAGATTCAGTGAATGTAATGTAATAACAAGTCAGAGATGACTGATAAAAGAGCAGATCGTAAAGGTTGTGAAATCACAGATTGGATGGGAATCCACTCCTGTAACTCAGTTCCTCTTAATAACTGTTATTGAGAAGTGAGGAATAGCTATGTGCCGGCCAACGGCAATAGTCATTTCATAGTTGACTCACACTCTCCTTGTTTAAAAGACAGAGAAAGGGACAATGATAGGTAAGAGAGGACAATGATATATCGGTCCTATCATAGTCCTGAGAAATACCGTCAATGCAAATGACCTCAAAACAGAGGAAAGACACACACAGAGAAAGAAAGCCAAACAGAGGAAGCAATGAATCAAGCAGGGCTAAAAGGCCACATGCAACAGTTTCACCACAACAATAGCCATTTAACTTCATAAATTAAATTCAGGATTGCTCCCATAGCTTTGGAGATGCAAATAAACTTTAAAGAAAAACTACAGACCCTGGACGGGTTAAACATTTGTATAATGTATTTTGCTGGAGAATACGAAATGCCAATTAAAAAAAAAATACAGACCAGCAACCTCATGTTGCACACTAAAACATGTCCTCCTGCACCACACAAAACATCAATTAAAGCTACTATCTACTTCAAGCATTCAAGAGCATAAATGTGCCTTAAAACTTACCACCTAATTCGAAACCCAAGGGTAACTTGTTCTTTGTTAATATCCAACAGGTTAGCAAGAATGTATCCCAGAAAATCCGTAATAGGCTGATTACATTCTCACGCGTGCACAATTCAAAATTGTATCTGTGCACATGTTGGCTGATACAGACGCAGCCTGTTCGTGAATTCAGCTCTGAGGAATGAGGGACTGTTTGGAAGTGCCGTGCCGCACAGCTAGCAGAGAAAAGGCGTGTTGTGCATGGAGAACAATCCCAGCATTTGAGCCCCTCTGACCCTGCCTTGGCCCCGACATCGCTAATGGCCAGCCCTGGAATGTGGGCTTCGATAGCCGGAGGAAGACAGACCGGGAGAAGACAGCATCAAAGAAAAGGCACAAAGAAGCCAAAGCCATGCCATGTCAGCCATATATCTGAACCATATATTTACATGTCACTATATAGAGGCACAGACAGACACACAAATCTGTTAACTATTTGAAATCGGGAATGACCCAAATCCATTCATTAGAGGGGAGAGGGGGCAGTAAGTGACACCACTAGAGGCCCCAGCAGTGTAGCAATATTTCCTGAGGTAGCCGGTTTTGGAACTCGGGGCAAGGGGGATACAGAACTCCCCCCTTTTCAGTGCAAAGTCTTTATCTTCCCCAATTTTTCTCTCCCTTGTTTCCTCTCTGCCTCCAGCTCTTGCATTTGTTCACAGCCTCCAGAGCCAAGATGTATGTTCCTCTAAACAATGCTCCTACAGTAAATCTTCTATCCTCTCCAGACTTTAAAAAACCCTATCGATCAATCATCTTTCCACAGGAAGTGAGCAGAGGGGTAACATGAGGGTTGACTGACTGATAAGATGATGTGCAAACTCATGCACAATTCAAACAAGCACAACAAACAGTAAGACGAAACTTGAGCTGAGGTTATGTACGGCATGAAGAAAATCATCAATCATTAAACAAAAGACCATTTGAATAGGGACCCTGGGCGGTTAAACTATTTACCATTAGTATTTATTCATAGTTTTACAAATTCAGTCACAGTAAGCGGATCTGATTTCATGAGTTTATGAATGCACACTAAACAATTACTGACGTTGAAGAGGGGGCAGCTATGAATGTGTAAAAGTCGAGGAAAAACTGAAAAGCCTTTTCAACCACTTGAATATATAAGAAATTGTGATTATGGTAAGGCGACTGTGCTGGATCTAAAGCTGATTCTCGAAGAGGCTGAGGGGTCAACCTTTTATTTACTTCAGCAATGAAAACATGAAATGCAAATGCATTAGCTTAATAGGAGGGATTGTTTTTTAGAATAACTCAGTGTTGTTTAGTCAGGAATTAGTAGCACATTCCAAATTGCAAAATAAACATTTGCAGGTAATTATTTTTGTGGTCCTGTACTTCGAAAAACTGATTTTACAAAGAAAATTGGGTCAATGTGTGAGACTGTAAGATGTTTCTCCAATATGATGCCACACACAGAGGTAATAAAGAACCGTCATGGCAACTTTGAATCTGTTTCAGAGCTGACTTACGTTAAGAAAAGGAAGAGAAGAGAGAACTGACACACAAAACTGTGTCCAACAGACCCCGATTGTCTGAGCTTCAGCTCCACCAAAACACATTATCCCCAAAGGTCTCGCTCTAAAGGTGACCGGAGGTTTGGAGGCCTTCTCCCCACAGATCACAGCTGACTAAATGATTCTAACAAGAGCATATTTAGCAAAGGGTGTCTGGTAGATGTGTGGGAATTTCCACTAAGCTATAAGCAAGATACAATTACAACTGATTGATGGAAACAAACCTGACCCAAATTTCCAACAGACAATGTATATGTCACCACAGCAGGCAATTTAAAAAATGTTTGAGGACATATTTCAATTGCCCATGACAGGACTAAGCTGATGCATAAAATATGGAGAGGATTTGTAACAAATAGCATATATCTCATTGTGACTGCCAATTTGTGAGCGCAGGCTTAGTAAACCGAGACAAGCGATGGGACAAGATTCTGAGATTTATTATGTTTTGCTACTTATTCTTCTTTCTGTCTCTTTCTATGCACCACATAAACCAAAGCAAATTCCTAGTATTTGTGAACCTACTAGTTGGTAATAAATCTGATTCTGAGAGGCAACAACCATAGTATAAAGATGCACATGACATGGTGGATGTAAGTGCAAAGGTGGATGTATAGTAGTTGGCCAATGAATTAAGAGCAGAGAGAGAAGGGAAGATAAAGGGAGGTGAAGGGAAAGGAAGGCAATTAAGGTTGAGTTAAGGTGCTTTAAGCAACTCCATATAAATATGTCCAAAATTAAACACACCTAAAAAGGGATATCAAAAAGGCAGATTGTCTAGACATCACACTAGGAAAAACAAGTTAATTTACCAGTTTTTTTATATGGAATAAACACACACATACATCCACACTTATGTCCAACGAATTCGGAACCTCCGTTGCTGAAACTCAAAGGTGAGAGTGGTCGAGGTGAGGTTGTTATGAGAGGTAGAGTCAAAGGGGAAAGGTCAGGGTTTTGGGGGAGTCAGGGTAATGGGGTGGGGCGTACTTACGTTGCAGTTTGAGGACTGGTTTAGATTGGATGCAGATCCCTCAGTCCACTCAGCAGTGTCAGTACTGCTGGACTGTCTGTTGAGTTCATACTCCTTTAGCTACGTGGAGAAGAAGAGTTTAGAGAGGCAGAGGAACAGGGCGGGGAAACCCACTCTCACCATGCTACATCCCTCCATATGCTAACAGACAATTGATAGACGTCACTTCTGTGCATATATAGAGACACACATACAAATTACAGAGACTGAATAAGTGATGTAGTGGTAAATTAAAGGCATGTAGCCTGCATTTGCAAACAACTAGTGAACAAAAGTCTATTGTGTTTTATGTCCACAGACTCCTGTCATTAGCCTTTTTTAAATGAGGAATTACTTTTAGATTGATGTATTGCTTTAAAGCACACATGAATCCAATATAATACAAATACTGAGAGGCAGGTTGAATCGTATAATATTTATAGCCAACTACATCCCTGGACACACATACTATTTAATATTATACTGACAAAAACCCCACACGTTAAAGAAAATGATCCACAAAGGGTGGACATTGATTGGTTGGATTCATTGACAATCACTAAAGCGATAAGCTCGGGTGAGGCTATTGGCAAAAATAAAATCAAAGCTCTATGGGAAAATAAGGGTAGGAAGATCAAATCTGCCCTGCGGAGAGAAATTCAGTGCTAAAATGCTGTTGCATGACTAGGATACTCATGAGCAATTCAAGGGGATTGGAAGGAAAAAAGGAAGGATGGAAGAAAAAGAAAGAAGTCGGAAAGTAAAAAAAGTAGAAGAGGCAAAAATTATTCAGAGAGAAATGTAAAGAGAGCCAAGTCATTAGCCACCATATCCACCTAGAGAGAAATACCACAGGGCACCAGAGCATCCCACCGAACAGATGGAGCTGTTGAGTTACTATGACACCAACCTCGCAATTATGAACTGAACAACACGTCCACACACACAAGAGCTCACACCTTTAAATCCCCACACTCCTGAACCTCTAGAAACCAACATTCTGGAGTGTGTGTGTGTGTGTGTGTGTGTGTGTGTGTGTGTGTGTGTGTGTGTGTGTATGTGTGTGTGTGTGTGTGTGTGTGTGTGTGTGTAAAGAGGACACGGCAGGGTTAAAATGTGGGGCCTGGTACATGTTAGTATGAGTAAGTCGTTTTAGTAAGCCAAAGGCATGATGGGAGTATAGAGCAGAAGGGAGCTGGAAACTAATCCAGGAGGAGGGGAGGGGATCTTGTGTAACTTTTAAAAGGGAATTGGTCATTTGAGGGGNGGGGGGTATGTGCGACATGAGGCAGGAAGTCAGTGAAGCTTCCTACCCGAGCTAGAGCTTCTTCCACGGTGATCATCTTCTCCTTCACCATCATCATCAGTTGGATTCGCTCTTCGTCGCTCATGGTGATCTCACTGGCCACATAGCCTATGTCTTCTCCTGAACAGTGTACAGGGAAAAAGGCAAAAGGTCACATATGAGGCAACATGTATTAATAAGTAAAGGAGATCAGAGAAATAAAGCTACACAAACCTTTGGATGTCTGTCGCATGACTTGTTTGTGCTGAGACTTGCGGAAGTTCTGCCAAAAAGATTTGTTTTTCTTCTTATTGTCCCATTTACCTAAAGACAGGGCAGGTTCAGTCACATGGGGAAAAGCATTCTCTTCTTTTTTTTTTAATTAGGTATAATGCAAACATGACTTCCTCAAGCATCAATTAATACAAAAGCATACTCATTTAGAAAAAAACATTTCAGCAAAAGAAAATTGAATCTCAATTACCTCCAGATCCATCTTCAGAGCTGGATTTGTGCAGGGGCATTCTGGGGGAAAGAGAAAATAAAGATTAATTTACATTAGAAACAAGTATCTTGCTTCTTTCTACTCCAAAATCTTCTCATAAAGTATCCAGCGATCAAATAGCTACAAATCAGTGGTTGTGTTTATGACTATGTAATTGTAAGCAAACAGGGCTGCAGTTATGTCTGTTCACCACATGGGGTCAGTGGTGATTCTTATGTGGCAGTACAGCCAGGCTCCTGAGGCTTGAGAGGGAGAAGGTAGAGGATAGAAGATGTAGACAATAACGCTCTGTTGCAAAAACGAGACGGTCAGCTGAGGATGGTGGTACTACAAACTGTTTAAAAAGCATTAAAGAAACGAGGGAGGTCCAATAGATGAAGGAAAATAAAGGGCAAGCATGTGAACGGGAAGAGAGAGGGAGAAAGAGGAAGAGAGAGAAAGCAAGAGGAGAAACCACAGGGCAGACTCAGCCTGTTTGTGTTTCCACTTCCCTCCGCAGGAGAGACAGTCACGAGGAAGAGAGAGAGAAGAGTGGGAGAAGTGGAAAATAACTGTAAAACTGCTGTTCTGATATATCTATAAGCCTTGCTAAATAACCAGTACTAATGGTGAGAAAATAACAACTCAAAAGCTTTGTGACACATAGAATGCACTCAGCTTCCAATCAAAAAGTCATGTTTGAGCAGCCTCGCCTGATGTTCAGCAGCGTGAGAGGCCGGGGCAGACTCTCCCTTGTTCTGGAGGAGACCAGAAACCACATCAACGGCAATCTATTTCTGTATTCTTTATATAAAAAGGAGGGTGAAAGGGGGATGAGCATCAGCGGGTCGTGTTTAAAGTTGCTGCTGAAACCTTCACAGTAGGAGAGACTTTGTTTTCAGATTGAGCTAAGTGGGCTGAGTAAGAGGGGGTGTAGCTTCACATCATGTCTCCAGATCCACAGGTGTGTGTGTGTGTGTATGTGTGTGTGTGTGTGTGTGTGTGTGTGTGTGTGTGTGTGTGTGTGTGTGTGTGTGTGTGTGTGTGTGTGTGTGTGTGTGTGTGTGTGTGTGTGTGTGTGTGTGTGTGTGTGAAGTGTGGTGGCAGCACACTTTAAGCGTCTCAATCCTTCCAGTTATAAAAAGGGGAAAGAATCATGGGGGAAATAGAAAGATAATAACGACACATTGGTCCAGTTGAGACCCTCAGAGACCTTTTAAGTAAATGTCTTTGCCAGCTCTCTCACTCTTTTAGTGTCTCTTACTTTCACACATCCTGAGACCCTTTATGAGTGGAGCCCATTGCACGTTGGTATGCAGCTGCTGAGCCGTGCAGGGAGACGGTGGCTGGCAGTGAAGCAATGTGAAAGTGTGTGACAGGATCAAAACAAGACGAACAGGTCACTTCCCTCTCCAGTGACAGCGTGTGTGTTTGCGTACATATGTGTTCCCATGTTTGTTCAGGCATGGCAGCCCTTTCTGGGTGCAATGGGAAATCTTCACGATGGCTTTAAAGCCCGGGCTGCCATGGCAACATAATGAGATGCTAATTGAATGGAGGCCTGTATGGTTGGCCCCTCTGTTCATCCTCCTCTCAGATAGGCTAGGGCCAAAGCTAATGCTAATAGAACTCACTCAATAGAGGCTTTTCTGTGGCAACGTTGCACCCCGCCCCCCTCCCCATGCTCTATAAATTAACCTCCAGTGCAGCGCTCGCATGCATGTATGTACGCACACACACTGGCGCTCACACACTTTAAAAGAGCCTGGATATATTTCAAAGGAGGTGTCAGTCCAGGCATTGTGTGGTTGGCAACTTAATTGGTTTAACCTTAAATCTTTGCCATGCCTTTCCATTTCAATTCGGTTCTTTGTATTGAGCAGGGGACATTTAACTGCGGACCCAACTTTCAACCTTCTGCACAATGTAAGGCACAGTATCTTAACTTTGCCTGAACCTATGTAGCGTAGAGGAAAGTGTATTTTATGATACAGCACTGCATTGCAAAAGTGTTAAGTGGAACAATGATGAGCTAATGCCATAGTGGCTGTCAGTGAATTGCCACTTTGCTCTGTGGAAATGATATATCTGAATGTGCTTCCTTTGCCAGGATGTGAAGCATTATTAACGTTTGAAACATAACCCGTCTAGCTATGAGGCTCTGTTGCTGTGCGCCATGGCTTTTGGTGTGTTAAAAACATTCAGAAGGATGGCAGAGACAGGTAAAACCCCTAATGTCAAAGATAAAATATCAATATATAAAAAAAGGTTGACTGAATAGGTGATGATGCTTTGGAAGCCATCATATGATACTGCATGACTCACAGGTTTAGCATCCTGTGTGACAGAGCTGCTGTCCAGGAAAGATGATAAACCAGCACAAAGCCGGATTTGGACACACAGCTGCAAACTCAGCATAAATCACAGCATTGCACACATGTGGGTGTGATTGTGTGACGGCAGGGCTGGCCACCTGGAGAGAGGTGATCTCCGGTTATCTGGTAGAGACAATGAAAGGCAGCGACCCAGTGTGACAGTGGCATTGTCCACAGGAAGAGTGGATGGATGACCGCTCCAGGGGTTATAGTAGAGTTCAAAGGTCACATGGAAGTGGAAGATTACATGGAGGGAAATAAATAAATAAATTGCATATAAACACCAACATATAAAAACTGCACGTTTTTGAGCTTGTGCTGGTGTTCACGGCCTCCTGTGCTCTACTCTCAAGCAAATTGCAGTTCCATGAGGGCTGCAACACTCAGGCGCAAGTGGTAAATATGCCAACAAGGTACTTTGGCTTTTCTAACATTGTACCGTTGTTACACAGATTGTTCACATGGCACGGCTTACATTTCCATGATTATTAGTGGCATAAGCTGGGTTTTCACTACAACGGCTGCTTAATGCACAATCTTACATACGGTTAGGGCCAAAAAACGGTATTTTTCTGTGTATGTTTTGATCAAGGTCCATTTACCTCCGCTGTTAACTTCACTTATAAGCCTTCTGCCCACTCTCTGCAACAATAACTCACTAATCAGTCACCTTTCAAAACAGGAAGTCCCTGTCTCAAACCCTTCCAGCTTTCTTAGGGCACTCTGTCATCACCACTTGCAGAGCAGACATTATCTGAGTTCTGCCCACCTCCTGCCAACAAAGTGACAAGGGGACACGGACAGAAAAGTGGCACAGACCAAGATGGCGTCTAGGTAATCTCCTCTGGTCCTATTGTCCTGCAGAGAGGCGATGATGGGGATATCCGTGTCCGTGCATGTGAGCGTGCTTCTTTTGAGGCTGTGAGGAATGTGTCATGAGGAATTGAGGGGGCTTGTCTATCACTCTGCACATGATACATCACGTTGGCTAAATCCCATTCAGCACAAATTGGACCATAGGCAATCTAAAGGAGAACAGAACTGGGATGAATGAGAGAAGGATGGATACAAAAATAATAGGTTCGGATGAGGAACATTTTTTCCTCAATCATTAAAAACCTTTAAACGGCGATTTAAAAAAAATTGTTTCATATTTAACTTTCACACCAGAAATTGAGTCTGGGGCTTCAATGGATGAGGCATACTGTACATAGTAGAAAGAGTGATAGGGGTGAGGAGATGGATGAATGTTGAACCGTTTGATTAGAGTGTAGCTGAAGACTTGAGGTGTGACAAAGTCAGAATGTTTTTGAGTGATGAGAGGCATGCAGGAAAGAGAGAAAATGGACTGATAGGAAGAAGTTAGGGGCTCTTTCTGAGACTTTCTCGAACAGCAGAGAGACGTCATTTGAAATGTGGCATCTGGTTCCCATCAACCAAAGCATTTGTCTGTGCAGCATATACAGCCATGGGAGAAGAGATCATGTCTATGGTATGCGCTTCCTCTGCCGCACGTGGTCGTCACGTGGAACATGACAATTCCACTTGGGTTCACTCAGGGGTGACGGTGCAGAACAAGCACCAGATAAAATTGATATAAAGGAGATCATTCTCGAGGCACACTGAGATTTTTTTAACCTTTGACCCTAGCAAACATGGCATTGGATTTCGACGTGGGCCCTAAATGTCTGCACTAATCTATGCATCTCCACTTTATCTCTTCTTCAAATGTAATGGGGATTTTCTGGTCCCCACCATTAGGAAATCTGTTCTGTTTTTAAAACTCCTTGCACATCCTGATGCAGGGAAACATTTGCATTTATTTTTTACACTTAGTCTTGTTGAACAGGGATTACAAAATAATTGAAATAAGAAGCTAAATGTTAGTGACTGCAATGGATTTAATTCCGTTGGACAGCGGGGAATTTATAGAGCTGTTGCAACAACCATTTTTGATTGCTTTGAATGTGTATAACATTGCATAATATGGATCTCATGGTTTGCTATGCTGGATAACATTCATCAAAATAAACACAGTGGTGGGTTTAGACGAACACACACACTTTGTGTTACAGTAACCAGTGAAAAGGAACCCCACCCATGCATGGTTCCATCCTGCTCTTTCGTTCATGCTCCTTCCCCCTCTCTGTCTCCTCGTTCTCCCCAGCTCAACACAAAGGCAGGAAGGAAACATGGACAGCCAGAGAACAGAGAATGGCAGTTCGACTGCGCAGGTCAACTAAAGGAAGCAGTTTGTGTTTTCCTTTAACCACAGCAGGGATGTAACCAAGGAGCTCAGGGGACCGAATGCAGGTCATAGGTTGGATGTCTGTTAATGTGGAGGGTTGGTTTCTTTATTCTCAAATAAAAACTGTCTTCCTAATATTATAAAGGTGATATTTTGTATATAATTACGTTATATTATTATTAGAACTTTGGGATTAAACTTCAAAGGAAATACTCATATTCATATAACTGACATCAATCTTAGCTGAACCTGTCTCTATTGCTCACTCCTCATCCACAAAGTTGGAGTTTTTCACCAGAGGAGCTGACCTCTTCTCCCCACTGGCAAGATCAGAGACCTTTTGTACAAGCTGTCACATAAGAGATCTATCAATCACATGAGCTACATATGGAGGCGAGTGTATTTCATTGGTTCTCTCCATCTTTAGCTGCGGACATGCAGCAGGGCTAAGTGTGATTCATGATTATGTGTACAGGCGTGTACGGGTTAGATGCGCTCCAGAGGCAGGTTAAGCTGCACATTGTTTTGACGTGCAACAGACACATATTTCAATCCAAGCACGTTTCATGGTTCCACACCGGCTACGGTCACATGTTACCATGATTTAATGGGGGGAAATAACTTACTTTCTGTCTGTTTCTGGAGTGGACACCTCACTGCTGAAGCCTAATGATTCCTGTGGACAGAGTGAAGAAAACAGGTCAGATTTACTTTGTGCCACAATTTGTAAAACTGACTGTGTAAAGCTTATACTTTGTTCACATAGTGTCTCTGCTTACCTGGATCTCAGTACGAAGCTGCTGGGAGGTGGTGCTTGGATCCTGTTTCTCCTGGAAAAAAATAGCATGAGAGGGAGAAGAAAGAAGGTAAAATGTCAGAGTCAAAGATCAATCACTTGAAGAAATATGAACTGTGGGCACAGAATATACACTGGAAAGGTAAAACAATCCCTCCATATGAAAAGAAAGGTGAGTTGACTGAAGCAACAGAAGTTTATTATGAGTTTAATAATGCCTGCATGTGGGAAAGACGTCCTTTGGTTAGGTTCATGTAGACACACCTGCATGACAGGGAAAACAAACACCAGCACGTGTGCACACACCAATAACACACCCAGAGACGACTCGACAAGTCAAGTCTTGCTTCAAGTACCCAAACCTGCAATACTTGTTATGATGGTTATAGAATACCACTGGGCGGTAGTGCAGTTTGGTGAAGTATTGTCTGCCCAAGCAGAAGACGATATCCAAAAAGGAATCTACGTAATTGACTTTATGAATCCCACAGTATGTTTGCAATGACGTGAGCCTCCCTCCATTCAAGGCAACACCTTCAAGGTTTCCTCAATTCTTTGAAAATACAACACACCATAAAAGACTGAATACAATGGCAGCACTATAGCCAAACTGGCTTAAATGAAAAACAGATAATCAGACTTTGACCATGGATTTAAGAGAAACATTTGTCAAAATAATAAACTGTACACAATCAGTGGAACAAAGCACAACTTTTAACTGCTCATCACGTACAGAAGGTTGCAGAGATCCTCCAGACAACAGTATCTGCTAGGCATGTTACACTTAGCTGTTGCTAGCATACTGTATGTGTAAAGGAGGTGTCCTCATCATGACATATCTAATTAAAGATGTGCTTAAACGGACTAACTGTACTGAACAATTACAACGAGTGTGCAACTGGGACTTAACCTCATGTGATTATTTAAGGCCAATGAGCGGCCCTGAGGGATTGATTAAGTACATTGTGTCTTGGTCGTGTGTTCTTGTGTGCTTTTGAACTTTCATGGAGGAGATTAGCAACACCCTTTAATCACACTCGCCCAGTGCTGTTCAATGCAAGGCACCATGGAAACAAATGGGGTCAGCACTTTGCTTAAGGGTAGTGACCAGATTTAAAAAATGTGGAGCAGGGATTGCATTTTTAACCTTGAGGTTATAATTATTTCTACATTGTGAATTTTCTAGTGGTCCTTTTCTTACTCACTGCACAATGAGAAATACTGTATGTGGCTTTACCCACCATGTGGCTATTATCCTTCTGGCATGAGCAATGAGAGTAAACAAGGATAAACAATCCCTTATTATTAGATTGGTTTATCCTGAGATACCAGGAAGAGGCAATTCAAGAGCAAATACATTTTTAAAAGGGAATAGTAATGCATGCCATATGCCAGGATTGTAAATATTAGCATATGTATGTATATGTATGGCATGAGAAAGCTGACAGAGGTGGTTATTCACAAAGATGATTAAGTTCAAGTTGTACTAAAGGACAGCTTTTGTGAGGACCTTTGTGGTGAGCTTTCCTTATGAAAGGAGCAAATATAACTAATAGTTCCTGTTTCTACTTTCTGTCTTACTTAATGTTTTAGCAGTACTTAATACATCTCACAGACAAGCACTAATATGACTTTATCTATTCTTATCCTGTTCCTCTTTAAAACTGTTGCTAAACATGGTAAACCCCTCACTGTGTTATCAATACTCGACAGACATGTTCTCATAAGTTCTTTTTTTCAGGGGGGAGAAATACTGGAATACTTTTTCTCATGCCAGCTTACGATTAGAGTTGTAGTGAATTTCCTCATTCTGTACGGATGGACATAGTTTAAATACTAGTCATAAGCCTAGGCAGCCAAAGTGGCATTTTAACTAGTTATCATATTGAAGGATCAGAATGCAAAGATAAAAGAGATGACATCAGCGAAGTAGGTAAGATCCAAAAAAACAGGTTGAAAAATCACAACATGGAACGTGCGGTTGCTGCCACAACAAAAAAAGTTAAACCTGGAGTTTCCCAAATAGAGAGTATAGGAAATAGGTTGTTTCTGGGAAATGTGCATCATGTATCCCCACACCCAGATATTATATTACAGGATAACAGTCACAGGAAACTGTATCTTGAATAATCCCATTGTACCTTTCCTATGTCATGCTTCCTTATCAGACTGACCTATAGTTTAACCTTCTTCAACCGGGCTCTGGGTGAGGGGGTACAATCATTCCACACACAAACCCTCTAAGCACGAGTCAGTGAGTGAATAATAGTTAAGGGACTTGAGTGACTTAACCTCTTTTAAGAGCTCTTTGAGAGTCTGTAGCCTGTAGGTCATAAGAGCAGTGCTGAGTAGGCTAAAAGCCTCAAAATTAGCCTGAACCCTATACTTATCCCAACAGTATCCAATTTATGGCAGACAGTCAAGATGCCAGCGAGACAGTGTGACTGGCTTTATCTTTAATGTTATCTTAAGCACAACAAGTCCTCCTAGTCTATTTGCCTTGTTTATGTATTTGTCTGTTACAGTAATCAAGAACACAGAAACCCAGGTCCGGATGTTTCTTTGGAGAGTAAGTCCGGTAATGTCGGGAAAGCTCTGAAACTATTTGTCCTTCCCTGGGAGTATGGCGAGTCCCATAAGTCAGAGAGCAGGTATCTTTCTAATCATAAAATCCTCATCTACCAGACCTACAGACGACAGGGTTAGCTCTTATTGCATTGCCAGGCTGCATATAGGAACATCTGGGATGGAACTGAACTGCGTTTTCTTTCTGCAGAGGGAGAGCGTATGTGAGACAAAGAGACAACACATGTACCCTTTAAACAAGCACAGCTTTGGCAGCCATCTCTTTTTAAACAACTGCATGGTGTGGAATAATTTGTGTGTGCTCATAAAAAAAACCCACAAAGAAGGAACAAGGTGTGTGCTCACTAGCAGTCACAAAGTATTTCACAAACAAAGCAGCAGATTGGTTTTGCTATCAGATCCTCTTTGATGACTTCTCCGACGTGCACTGACAGAAATTATATGCCAGTCTCGCCAAATGGGAAACTACAGGCATCATGCCAACAACTGGTTGTTAAGTTTCTTTTAAAACATGCTGTCCCACTGTCAGCTCACATGAAAAATACCCTGCCAGGCACAGGCCCAGACACAGCAAAATACATGGCCCCACAGACATAAACTTAGACAGATACCCAAACCAGGAGCACCTACACACACTCAACTCGCCTCCACTTCCACAGTCAGAGCTCCTAGGAGCCAGAGACACAAAGCAGCTCTCTGTTCCTACTGCTCCTCCTAAGCTTTCCCCTTTACTCCCCGTCTGTGCGTGCCATCTGACATGGAAGGAGGGGGCGAGAGGGCAAAAAGATGAGAATATCTGGAACAAACAAAACAAAACATCCCGTTTGCCTTTAAATGCACTTCTGCGGGATTTCCCAAGGTTACACTTTTTCTCTCAGAATTGAGCATTTCCGACGAAGAAGCAAAAGTGAACGGTGAAGTCTGTGCCGGCGTAACCGACACAGACTCTAAAAGAGAATATCAAATCGATGCAGTTTGAGGGAGTATCTGTATGTGAGGCTTAGATCTCACAATATTCTCCCGGAGGGGGTATGCTATCCTCTACTTGAACTCACCAGCATCAGCTTGAAATACTGCCCTACTTACCCTGAATTGACAATTCTGCGTATGAATGTGCATGCGTTTTCCCTACAGATGTCCACAGGGTTGTTTGTGTTCAATAATCTGATTGTGTGCGTGTTTATGTACAAGCGCATTGCAAACGCAAGGCCCTGATTGCTAAAGCATGACTGAATTGAGTTAAAATGAAAGCAGTAATGGCGCTAATGAGGGTCACTATGTCTGCAGAAAGGGGATCTAGCATCTGACACAAGCCTACCACACACACACGCGCGCGGGCATCAAACGCTTCTGGGGTTTCCAAGCCCTACATTGCTTTCCATCATTAACCCAGAAACTACAGCTAAACTCTGCTTTGCTACAGCAGGACCAGATTCTGTTAATGAGAGGGAAGGGATAGAAATGCAGATGGTTGTTAAAAAGCAGCAGTTTTGTCCAAACAAGTCAGCTATGCCCACCAAAAACGCAAGCTTCCAAAGTGGAGTTGAAGCCAACCTCAGAGGCGAGAGTAGCGGATATGCTAGAGAGACCAGGTGGCTCAGTGGAGGTACGCCAACTGGCACGGTTGGCAAGTCTGGGTGGGCGAGTATGAAGTTGCTAGGTAGGACTGCACATGTGGAGGGACCGGCGCCACCTGGTGAGCCTGGTTCAAGTCCAAAAAGACGTTAGCGGTGTGTAGTGCAAGTATGGCGCAATGCCGGCTCATTTGGAAGATCTCACAGAAAGAGGGACTGTACGCATACTGACTGGACCAACAAATATGTACTGCCATTACTTTTCCGGCACACAAGTAGGAAATACATTTTCTTAGTGAGCAGGATAAACCAGAGGCTGCTGTGCCACCTCTGAGCTGCTACACGGACGAGTTTACGAGAAACAGAAATCCTTCAGCACACTGAGTAACACCTCTACCCGCTTCCTTTCCAAAAAGGCGTGTGAGAGTGTGCGTAAGTGCATACTTGCAGCAGAGGCCTGTACTTCTACAGTACGGTGCATTCCTAAGACATGAGGATCAGCATTGTTCTGGTTATTCAAGGCAAATACCAGAGTTATTACAAACTCCAAGTGACAGTCACAATCTCAGTGTTGAAATCATACATCAATAAATTACAAATATACCACTTGCTTTCAACAAGGGTTATGGCAATAATGGAGCAATTCCGACACCATTTCTAAAAAATCTAATAACACACAGGCTGTCGTTTGAGCATGATTAGTTGCTATGTTTTCTAGGCAAGAGCCTGAAGGTGGAGAGGAAAAATATACAGCAGAATTCACAACAGTTTGTCTTTCTTCTACACTGTAGTTTTAACCCTGCTGAACTGACCCGGTTTGACGATTAAACCTCACGCAGGCCTTAGCACATTAACCACACTGTTCCTCGCCTCATGGCAAAACAAAACAAAAGTCTGTACTTGAGTCTTGACCCCCAAATGTCAAGCTACTCGGCGAGAAAAAAGTATTACAGAGCATTCCTGAGGCATGCACATTGATCAGACACCAGTTGAGGCATTTCAAAAGTGTTTCAATTATGAAGTCAACAGTGAAACCAACTACTGAAGGATTTTTGGCCAAAGCGTCAAAGGATGCAATATTCAAGGCCTGGTTGTTTATCCACAACTTAAACATTATTACTACCAGGGAAATAACCACAGATACTGTTGCAATATAAATTATGATTTACAGCGTGTAGAAGTGTCTAAAAGTTTGCCCCACAACCACAAATTCCAAATAGTCTATCTTGATTTATATTTGATCTACATCATCTTTTCCATAGCTGTGGTTTGAGAGACATGTTAATATTCAGTTTGATGTTTTTTCCTTCGGCTATACACAATAATTCACACTGCCGACCAGTTTCTGCAAGCCTGTTAGATCTCTGTTGGAGCTTTTTTGTTCATGTTTTGGCATGTTTTCAGCTGCAGTGGCAGAAATAGACAAAGAAAACAACAAACTTTCTTTATGGATCTAGCTATTGATCAATTTGTTCAATTGGCTTGACCATTCATTTGATATAACATGCTTTGTCAAAGTTGCTGAACTCTTTGCTTTCTTTGAATACTTCTGATCACCTCCACTAATAAGCTCTGTGTATCACCAAATCAGTGTGCCAGAGAGAGTCATGCAAACTTTCATTGTCCATAGGAGCGCTGGGAAACTGTGCATGGTAGCGCTAATCCATAGGACTCATTCCCTAAGGGGATGTTTATTCAACCCCTTGTATCCCTGCTATTCATAAAACTAACATGAAGATGTAAAGGAACAACTCAGCAGAATCCAGCCAGGAAGTGGGCACATTGATAGTCATCTCTGAAAGAGCCTCTATCATCACCTCCTAATGGCAGTTTGCAACAACAGACAGCCATCACTTTGTCAATTAAGAAGCACCTTAAGAGCTGGCAGGCTCCTTGTGCAAGTCAAAACAAATACACATTTTGATACCGCCGGAGATTTTTGTAAAATGTTAGTGTTGCAAGATAGTTTCTTAAGAAAGGAAACAAAAACTCAAGTCGAAAAGAAGAGTTAACATTCGAAAGAAAGAAAAACTTAATTCAAGAGACAATTTTCGTACGTTTTGAAGAACAGAAACAGTTTTGAGTTCCTTCTTTCCCTTTCTATGCTGACCACAGTTAAACGATAGAAACTGGTGCTTTTTTGGGGGATTCTTTAAAAAGAAAAAATTGCATAATGTGGTGTCAGCTAAGTGAAAAAATATGTAGACTTTGTCATGTGTCAAACTGACGGCCCGTCTACACTACAGGCATCGAAAAATGCTTTAATCTTCGCCGAACTGCATTTTGGGGAGTATGGCATGGCTTTGCAAGCATCACGAGCATCTATCGGCATGAAAAGTTGAACAATGTTCAACTTTTGAGGCTCGATGCTTGGCATCAGCCAATCAAATCCCGTTTATGCAAATCCCGCCAGTGCAAGCGCTAGCCAATCAAACCGCGTGCAAGCTGGGAGAGCCAGACCGCAGTTCATTTCCTCATATTCCAAACGAGATATTACGGTAGCAAATCACCCGGTTCTTTACGACCAGAACTATTTACCGGGATACAAACCGGAGGAACCAGGCATGGAGGGAAGTGGCAGAGACAGTGGGTGAAACTGGTAGGTTTTTCGCCTGTTTGGAGAGTTTATATCCAGTTTACTTCGTTTTAACATTGCTATTGCTTTGTATGTCGGGGGCGGGAGATTCATGTGATTGGTTGTTGGTCGCAAAAAATCGCCAAGCTTCAGACACGCCCAGCTTCAAGATTTTTTTATGCCTGTAGTGTAGACGGGCCGTAAGACTCCCCTCTTATGGCATTACCCTCTTGTCCATCATCTCTTTCATTCTTAATATTGAGTGTAAAGACCAGTAGGAGGTAAAAGCTGAGGAGAACTTTGCCCCCGTTATCTGGACAGATTCCTTCGTTTTGGAAGTGTATATAGGCATTAGAAGTGTCCATCGCAAATAAGACAGATCTGACCTATAAAATTGGAGCTAGAAAAAAGACAATGGCTGGAGAGGGAGTAGGTCTTGTTGATATATGATTGCGTCACCTACCTCCTTTACCCTTTACAAGTGACAGGTCCTTCCCTAAAGGGCAAGTCCCTCAAGAGTGCAACTTGCTAAATGTCTCCCCATTAAAGTGACTCTTGGACACTGTGACCTTCTCTAACCATCTGCGATTGTTCCTAAGGGAAGAGGCTGCACGACGTTGGCTTGCGGCCTCTGATTTCTGGACACATTTCACGAGTCATTCGGTACTCTCTTTCTGACTGGTTCTCCATTTGACCGGTCTTATTCTCACTTCACCTTGGTCTCTCATGCTCTGTCTGTCTCAAATATTTCTTCTATTTTTACAGATACTGTGCCACAGCCTTTCCATCTATGAAGAAATCAAGTCCAGTGGAAAAATACTGCCTAAGAGCAGGCACGTCTCAACCTACTCTTATCTTTGACATAGAAAAGGCTGCTTTACACTTGAAAATACCCAAAACCTAATTTTAGAAAAGGACTGCAATGGAATGCAGGGCCAAGTTCAATCCATATAGCGTAGGTTGATACTTTCCTTTTGAGAGCTCTCAATAAGGTGTTGCCTGACCCATATTCCTTCTTCATGTGTTTTCTCCCTCCTCCTCCTATTTTGGTGCCAAACTTTGCAGAGTGGCAGGACAGCTGCAGGCTCTTACATTCTCCGCTCCTTCTCTTCATCCGCTCATCCTTCGTCTTCCTCTGTTCACATCCTTATCCTCCTCCTGTCCTGGGCTTCAGGCTCAGAGCCCAGTCAGCTCTGATCCTCTCTTCTTACAATCGAGATGCAAAATCTTAATCTTGCTTCCTCTCCCCCTGTTTTATCTCCCGAGGGTAAAACCCTTTCAAACTATAAAATGTCCAGAAGTAATCCTTATTAATGTAAACTCAACGGCCACACAGAGAGAGGTCATACAACCTACAAACGCAAAAGACATCTACATACAGTGGGGAAAAAAAGTATTTAGTCAGCCACCAATTGTGCAAGTTCTCCCACTTAAAAAGATGAGAGGCCTGTAATTTTCATCCTAGGTATACCTCAACTATGAAAGACAAAATGAGAAAAGAAAAATCCAGAAAATCACATTGTGTGATTTTTTAAGAATTTATTTGCAAATTATGGTGGAAAATAAGTATTTGGTCACCTACAAACAAACAAGATTTCTGGCTCTCACAGACCTGTAACTTCTTCTTTAAGAGCTTCCTCTATCCTCCACTTGTTAACTGTATTAATGGCACCTGTTTGAACTCGTTATCAGTATAAAAGACACCTGTCCACAACCTCAAACAGTCACACTCCAAACTCCATTATGGCCAAGACCAAAGAGCTGTCAAAGGACACCAGAAACAAAATTGTAGACCTGCGCCAGGCTGGGAAGACTGAATCTGCAATAGGTAAGCAGCTTGGTGTGAAGAAATCAACTGTGGGAGCAATTATTAGAAAATGGAAGACATACAAGACCACTGATAATCTCCCTCGATCTGGAGCTCCACGCAAGATCTCACCCCGTGGGGTCAAAAATGATCACAAGAACGGTGAGCAATAATCCCAGAACCACACGGGGGGACCTAGTCAATGACCTGCAGAGAGCTGGGACCAAAGTAACAAAGGCTACCATCAGTAACACACTACGCCGCCAGGGACTCAAATCCTGCAGTGCCAGACGTGTCCCCCTGCTTAAGCCAGTACATGTCCAGGCCCGTCTGAAGTTTGCTAGAGAGCATTTAGATGATCCAGAAGAGGATTGGGAGAATGTCATATGGTCAGATGAAACCAAAATAGAACTTTTTGGTAAAAACTCAACTAGACGTGTTTGGAGGAGAAAGAATGCTGAGTTGCATCCAAAGAACACCATACCTACTGTGAAACATGGGGGTGGAAACATCATGCTTTGGGGCTGTTTTTCTGCAAAGGGACCAGGACGACTGATCCGTGTAAAGGAAAGAATGAATGGGGCCATGTATCGTGAGATTTTGAGTGACAACCTCCTTCCATCAGCAAGGGCATTGAAGATGAAACGTGGCTGGGCCTTTCAGCATGACAATGATCCCAAACACACCGCCCGGGCAACGAAGGAGTGGCTTCGTAAGAAGCATTTCNCCCCCGAAAGGACTCCCAGAACACCACAGCATTCATATTCAGAAAGGCATACTGGCTTTGGGGAAAGTCTTAAACCTTAGCACACATTCATGTTTGTTCCGCTACAGTTGTTTCTAGCCAAGTTGTTGGCTAACACTGGAAATAAATTACACTGTGCAACGATATGGAACTAAACCAATAATAAGGATTTAGGAGAAACTATTAACAAAAAAATGCAATCTGTCCAAAGCGATGTTGTACATTTGCATTTTTCTCAAAACAATTTTTTTTATTGTGTGCATGCAGTTTTACCATGTCAAGCTCCTGGGAGACTCGTCTTTTGCGAAGCTCCTCCATGCGGTCACTGACGTCACTGAAGCAGGTGTTGTAGTACTCAGAGTACTCCTGGGCGAGGTCATCTATGTTGCCCAAAGAACCATCCTGCAGAGGGGGAGAGAGAGGGAAGGGTTTAGTAAGGGATCTACGACTACTTGTTTTTGTCAAAAAAACTTAAATATTACATAAACACAAATGAAGTCCTAAGAATGCAATCATTCAGTCTTTCACGCAGGCTCTACACTTTAGAGCAGATTGCAGTAAAAAGTAAGTGCACTGTGTGATAAACACATCCCAATCTATCCCTCCATTTACAGCACACATTTTAAAACCGCTGTCACATACACTTACAATTAGTGGCATATAAGAGGTACCTACAGGCTTGCATTTGGTTAAAAGTGGCATGGCTTGGGGTTGGCACAGGGATACAGACATCATTACTCATCACCACACATGTATATAAGTGTGTGCTTTTTCCAATTCACCAATCTACTCCTACACTCCATACAAACAGAGACAATCTTAAAATACCCCTCAATTGAAGGTCTAGATATTTTCAGTAGTTCATTTTTATCAAGTTCCATTCAGTGTCTTTGGCCAGCTGTGAATTGATCCTTGGTTTTGTCTTTATCGAGGCGTATATCAAGCATGCCCTTTAACTCCTCAGACATTCATTGAACTCTAAACCAAACATACTTTTCCGGTCAGCTATAGTTTAGATCAGCACAGTTCCTGTCTTTGTGTGGAGAACATGTGTTTAGGATTGGAGAGGAAGCTGTGCTCCAAACATTAAAGATCTTACCTAACCGAACACATTTTGGATATAATGTTAAGACTGGCCTCCAGGTACTAATGGAAACATGAATATCAATTTTAAACCTAGGTTCTATGAAAATGTTTCTGAAAATAAAAACTTTTAACACAAGGGGCTTAAATCATTAAGAAGGATCACAAAGTTAACTGAGGTCAGTCTGGTTTGTGACTGAAGTAAAACAAATGGTCCTGGATATAGTAGATGCTGTTATCCAGCTAGTTAGTTATTTTTCATCAGACCAAAACATTCTGAAAAGTTGATTTGTTTGTCAATGTAAGTCTTTAAGAAGAAGCTTCTCTTTTGGACAATGTGGGAGAGAATACCAGCTCTCATTTCTTACTTTGGTAAAGATGTAGGAGATTCTGGCAGTGATGGTAAACTGTTGAATATTCATTAGTGTTGATCTAATCTGTGCCAGGCAGACAGCTAGCATTGAGTCACTGTGCAGGGTCCGAACAGTCTCTCTCAGTCTCTGTCCCTCTCAAGCAGACCCCCTATCTGGGTGCCAGGCCACAAATGAATGGATCACTGTGAGTGTGAGTGCCACACACACAGACACACATGGGCAAAGGCCCCTGTGAACAACATTAGCATGCACACACACACACACACACACGCAGGAGATTTAAAAAACACTGGACCAAAACAAACTGAGGAAGACCGATCATAAACAACACAGCTCAGTGATGGGGTTATGAAAAGGCACTTTCAGATGCACTGAACACAATATCACTCACAAACACACATGTTATGTCTCAAAAGCCTAGTTTGGCTGGCTGTGATCTTGACTCCCACACACAATTGCTTAAGAATTTCTGTTTCTGGCCAGACATATGGTTTGAGATGACTGAGATTCCCAGTGGGAGCACTCCCTGAGCGGACACATGCTATCCCCTCCATTCCTCACATTGACTGAAAGCATGCCGTCCATGCCGAACTCCAAATGTTCTAATCACTGTACACAACCATTGTGCTGAGCTTTTTGCCACATCCGGAAGATAAGAATGATTGAGTCCCAAGGTAACGACAACTCTTGATTGACTGAGGAAGTCTCCAGTTGATTTTAAATATTAGTTAGGTCATAGAAGCAGAATTATTTCATCAAACGTGCCATTTTTCTGGCCCCACTACAGAGAGGATATTGAGCCCTTAGCTATGGACAGGTAGAGATGCATGTATCTAGCTGATCTTATATTAATGTGCCCCTGTAATTGCATGCATCCTTGCGTGCAAACATTAATAGTGTCTGTACATAACTGGGATTCCTCTAGTTCTCCAGTGACATGAGCACATGGGGGTTCAACACAGCTGACCCTTAAACCCCATCTCCACACAACCACCTTGTAAAGTGATATGGCATATGCACAGTTTCGTATCCACTACGAGACGTCACGTGAAGACAAGTCTAGAGAGTGAAAATGCCTCGAAGAGAATCGGCTAGGGGAATGAGTTAAGAAAGGAAAACAAACGATTAACTCAGGATGTTGGATGGACTGCGAGTGTCAGAAGATGAGTGAGAGTTTCTCCCACTCATTAGAGAGAATCTGTCAACATGGAAGAGCATGGAGGGATCTGACAGGGCTCCACACATCAAGTTTGGAAATGTGGGAAGGGGGGTGGGAGGGAAGGCTGGACAAGGGATGATTTGTGGGATACTGACTAAGGGCAGCTGTAGGGTGAGAAGAGGATAAAACATCTGGAGTTATGGAAGACATATGTCTGCACCTCTAACTGATTGTAAGGATAAGTATTAAACCTCCCACAAATGATCTGATCTTGGAAGAATATGGGTCTCTGTGTCAGCATATGAAGCTACAAAATAACCGTTTAAAGCAATATTCAATTTAAACATATTATTTAATATTATAAATTACATTTTCATGGAGGCACAGTATGTATGAAATGGAGGCTAACACTAGTTCAGCTGATGTAACTGCTTCTCCACCCTGGATGTGAGCGAGGCCAACTCCCAGTTTGACTCGAACCATAGCAACAATAGTTATACAGAAAAACAACACCAAAGCAAAAATGTGAGTGAGTTTATGTGTATTTACAGTAAAGAGTGTGCGTGTGTCATTTACTGCTCAAGTCAAATATAATTGTCTGCTCTATGGAGATGGCTACTCTCAATTTGCAGCTAAAATTGGTCAGAAGACTGTGAAAAAACCTGTGCTGCATGTCAATTCTGTTCCTACTGCTGAAGAAAACATATATCATATTCTGTGCAAAAGCTGTAATAACACTCACTTAGTGTCTGCCATGCCTTCGACCACCAAAAGACAAATGACTGGTATTGCACCACAGTCCATAAATATTTCAGAAATGTGTGGTATGAAGCTATAACCAAGATTTTTTACACAATATTCATTTAAGATTGCGTTGTAGGAATGGATAAGATTAGCAATATATAAACATAGTTCTTCCCCTGTCTCTTATGGAAAACAAATCATATATCATTAGCTTCAGAATGTGTTTACAAATGGCAGCATGGTTGCACATATTAGAACGCAAACAGCATGAAAACCCAGTACCCTCCGCTGACTTAATCAATAAGCCATCGCATTCCTGGCATTCTAAACTACCACAAGTATCTCTTTGGACATTCAGTAAGTCAGTGAGCAGCATCAGTTCAATAAAAGAGACCGTGCTGTTTCTAGCATAGACGTCATGTTCAGCAGTTTATGATGCAATGACATGCCATACCGCATTTCCCCCCCAAAACATCTCAGTTAGGTCAAGTTGTTCCTTCGTTTGCTCTAAAGAAAAACATTTACAAGAATCTGAGTTCTACAACTGAGGTGACAATTTCATCTGGACAGAGCGCCTGAATGGCACTACACTAAAGCAATCTCACAAGTCATTCGAAAACTCCACAGCCAGCATGCAAAGCACTGATAACTTAGGTCTCTCTGCATGCTAAGGGATCCATGCCACAGCGCACAGCTAATGCCACAATCAAGTTAGAGTCAATTGACGTTTTCCACATCATATTAGATGATTCAAGGTCTCTTTCAAAGAAAGTACTTGTTTATTATGAGCAAAGAGAACTACATGCCAAAAGGCTAAAGTCCACATTGGTTCTGGTCTATCCTTTGGCAACACATTCCTTACATTGTTACAGTGCTGGCCTGTAACAATGAGCGAGCCGCGCGTCTGATGTCATGTTTGAACCTCAGTCGTTTGATCACTTTCACCAGCCACATACAGCTCAAGACAGGTGTGGCAGGTTTAAATTGCCAAGACCGTGTTTTATTATGTTGCCTTGTACTTGTGTTACATTAAAAAGTGAACAAAAAGGAATCCTGAGTCATGGATACATCAGTTTAAACCCAACCCGCTGAGAGATCTCCTGTCCAAAAGTCCCCAAACAACTCATTATGAAAACAATAATAAGTTATTCATTCTTTACTCCACCCATCCCTCTATCCATCCAGTTCCAGTTTCCTTTACTACTACTGGTGCCGCTGTACTGTTAACTATTCAAATAAAACATAACTGAAAGAGAAATATAAAGAAAAGCTGACATGATAAATGTGGAAAAACTTAGATAGAACAAAAAGATAGATGAAAGAAAAGGGTGCTACTCGTGTGCCAAGTTGCATAACCCACCTACATGAGTTTGGAAAATGATTGGATGAAGCCTACTAGTCTGTAATGGAGAATTACTCAAACAGAGCTAGTAGAGGTCTGACTAAAAGATAAAGTGTATAGGGCATGGTAGTCAAAGGGGGATGACTGTCGAGGAAGGTAAGGGCAGGGGGCACAGCTCACCCCCTTTAGAGGGCTTCCTGAGGATATCCGTGGCTTGGGCAGAACAGTGCTCTGCCATCCCAAAAGAGGAAACCTGTCAGATCTGTGTGTGACCTCAATAAGGAGATCAGTCAGAGAGGAGGAGTGAGCTGAGTCGGCCTGGGCAACAATAGACAAAATTAAGCTATGATAGACTGTGTTAGAACATTATTGGCAAAGATATAAAGTGGCCTAGCTAACCGCAGATTGGCACAGAGAACTGGAGCATATGCTGCCACTCTGTATGAAGTGCTATGTGGGAGGAGGCACATAGAGATCACCTCATCTAACCATATGTTTCCCAGACACAATCAATATTCATGTCTCGAGAGCAGTATCCGATCCTTGGGTTTACAGATGAAGCACAGTGTAGTACATAAGTGTTTTCTAAATGGACAAACTCCCACCCACACTGTGTGAAACTCTCTACGAACAGAGAAGGATTCCCTTCAGGCAAGTACAATATTTTCACAAGGCTCAAGATGACCTTTCAAGATAAAACTGGATGAGCATTTTCTTATAGAGAAAAAAGGAAGTATAATCAAGTGCATAAAGTCCGCACAGATGCACACCTCAAAACACATTATGCTGATACAGAATTTTCTGTTTTCAGTCAGGCAGTTTTAATGTGGCTCGTATAACATTCATTAAAGAACGTTCTGGTCTGAGGAAAAACCTGTCATTTCTTAAGAAGTGAGGTGGGTTTGAAGCACATTCAGACATCTGTAAATCCAACCACTTAGAACAGCTATAGCTCGTGCGCAATTGTCATAAAGTGGCTTTGACTCTTAATTAGATAAAGTGCCATTTACTCGGCTACAACCACATCTAAATTACTGGCTTACTTAGGTATTCTTATTAAAAAACGTCCACAACAGGCTGCTGTTTATGGTTACACAGCAGCCCGTTTGATTTTCATGGCGAAAGTTATTTCGAAGGTGGAAATGTAGAAGACAATAAATGTACTAACTCCGTGCTGATAGTTGTTTTAATGCTTATTAAGTGTTTAAGAGTAGTTATTGAGTTTGGCATGTGGGTTGAAACATGATTACTAAAAAACAAGATTATAGTAAGCATGTTGACCAGATCTTTATCAGTGTGGATGTCTATCTGTACAAGTATGCAGGCCTGTTCTCACATGAGGGGAGCCAAGACCAGACACATTTGCAACAGTAAGTTAAAGATGGTCAACAGGCTTGGGGCGATTCCAAATGCAAAGGGCCTTCCTATAGGTTCCCAGGCAAAACAAAAGCCATTGAAAGTCATAGAGCTATAGAACACAGCAAATCTATTTTCATTTGAGGTGAAAAGTTCCCATTGTGCTCAGAATATTTATCTCTTGTGCTTGAAAATAGGAGCCTGAGCGCATTGTTCAAAAAATACAGCTCATTATATAGAGGGACATTTAAGAGACTGCAGTTTTTGTGACTTTTTATTTTCATAAATAATGCCTGCAAGGTGCTATCAATTCAAGCAACTTATCACCACCATTGACCATGGACTTTCGGAGAAAAGCAACCAACATGAAATCATTAATTAGTATGGTTGTCAACCAGTTAGTTCTAGGTTTCATACTTTCACACTTCTAATCTTTCCAGAATAGTTTTGTAGGAAAATAAGACAGTCACAGCTATCAGAGCCCAGCAAGGATTCAATAAATGAACACGATCTGCGATACAGTACCCAGAACAAGATTTTAACAAAAGGTGAGGTCAGAGATTTGGAAACAATATGAGATTTGCTATGGCTGCTGGCAGTATGGCTGATGAAAAACCTTCAGATGAGTGCTGCAGGATGTTTATTGGAAGGATAGTTAGAGACGTTAAGTGAATGGTAATTGGTTCTTCGGCAAGATAGTTAGATACTTAATAATTATGTTAATTTTTTAATGACCTCCAGCCGTGTTGGAAAAGATAAGGATGCATTCATCTATATTCTTGAACCAGTAAAAGCTTAAAAATCCTCATGAATGATGGGATTGACCATAAAATAATGGGGAAGGATTTATGTGACAAATGTAAATAAAAGAGTAAAAAGTGTGTTGTTGCTGTTGTGTCTGTGTGTATGTATGTTTTTCAGCTCAAGGGGAAGTTTGTCTGCCTTGCAGACATTTGCCTCAAGAGCAATACATCTGGATAAATTGCCCGAGCCAGGGACCCCACCCGGTGTCAGAGGGCAGGAAAGCCTCCCCCTCGTACATGGACACAAACAAACACACAACACAAGCATTTAAACACCATTCACATCTTCAGGGCCAGACTAAACCCAATTAACACCTTTTTTCTTGAAAAAGACTTAAAGTGCTGCATCACTTTTGTTTGGGAGATCAATCAGACCCCATGGCTTGTGTAATCCAGACTGCTTTGGCAGCCAAACTAAAGAGCACGTTTACAATATACAGCATCTCCAAAGTTACAAGCATTTAAGGCACAAACATGTATGGAGAGGTAAATCTCTCTGAACTGGGCACTCAACATCTCGTAAACAAGTGTAGCTGAAACTGTGCGAGTAATCAAAATTAACTTAAATGATTCATATGCAAAAAAAGTTTGTCTAATTTCCCAAAAAAGCCTAAGCATGGGATTTCAGAGACTTTGAGATGAATTTCAGAGCAAAGCATCTCTAACAATCAGCTTGTAGTTTGATACGGCTATCAACAGGTGTACAAAGCAGACAACACATCTCCTCAGCTCGAGGTCACTGCAAGACCTCATGTCTAACTTGGAGAAAGATAGCAGCAAAACTGAACTGAGCTTCGTTCAATTGAAATCAAAGTAGCATGGCAGTACTAGAATACTCAACCGCTAGATATAATCATATCAGTAATCAAAACAAAAAACACAAGCACGCAAAGGGTTAATCTTTCAATCTGTAACATACCATATTCTCACTCAATTCCTGTTTGCATCGAGATCCAACCGACTCAACAGTACGGATTTGTCTCTAGCAGCCTCAAACTAAACCACTTGAGTCCCACAGCACATGTAGAGTGCCGCTGCTCAGACTCGGGCCTATAAGCACTCTGCTGAGATTTGTTTTGATGCGTGATTTGCATGCACCGACCAGTTGGCTACACAATCGATCATTCGGCAAATCAGTGTCAACTTTGAGGGCCAGGGTGAAAACTCTCAGTTACTTGTGAGTCTGTGGTGCCAGTCTATGATCCTAACACCCCTCCCCCTAAAACTTACCAGCATCCCCATAACGTCCGTCCACAGTTGGGAAAAACTGTCGGACGCAGCAGCGCTTTCTGCCCGAGGCTCCTCGGAGGCTGCACCAGACCCCTGATCAGCTTCCATGTTGCGGAAAAATGTTGTGTTCAATCGGACCGATCTGGTGCAAAGCTTCAATCCAAGCCCTCAGGCAGGGGCCTGAACACCACAAATAAACAAAATGCGGGTGCCAAGGCAGCTCCTAAAGAAAGTTGCCCTTGACGCACCGGTGAAATGCTCCAGCATTGCTTGGCAGGATCCAAAGTTTAGTGCGTAAATTGGGTCCTGACATGTTTACCAAACTCCTCAACAACTTGAGGGCGATTAATTCAAGTAATAAAAGAGCGCAAACGGAAAGAAGGGCGGCCTTGAGAGGACCCACAACAGGTCACTCGTTTGAAAACTTCCGTGCGGGGTGTTCCCTCCTTCACAGTCGGCACTGCACGGTTCCGTGCCCGGGCACAAACAAAACCGCACACCGGGTGGAGTAATCTTCCAACTTGGCGAAAAGTTTCCAGAAAGTTAATGGAATCCTTCGACAAGTGACAACAAACAGTCTAAACTAGTAGAGCCAGCATACATAAGCTTATTTCCATAAAAAAAATCGAGTGAGCGAACGCCCGAAGCACAGAGCAAATCCTCCAAACACTGCGCCTCCCCCCTCTCTTCACCCACCGTTTCCCTCTCTCTCCCTCACTCACACTCCTCCCAACAAAACATTACATCAGAAAAAAAACACTTGTCCCGTGTCAGAAGCACAATAGCCAGGAATTCCATCAAACCACTGATGAATGGTTACTATTCCAGCAAGTCAATTTATTCATGTAATAGTTTATAACTGTTAAGTTTACAAAATGTGACGGCATTGCTTTTGTTTACCCGTTAACATAATACTTCAGTGAATTTTTCAAATGTCTGCTGTACTCATTGGCATCATAAGTGACCAAATCCTAATGAGGCTTTTTTATGTCCTTTGTGCCTTGAATGATTGTTTTAAAATGGTGAGTTTATTTAAGCTGAGAGCAGTATGCTCTAAAAGCCATTACAGGTGTACAGTTTTTTCAACAGCCCAGAAAAACTTTTTATCTCATGCTGACAGGGCTTTCCACCAATACGTCTCTCCAGCCAGCATTGAATAGGGACTGAACAAAGCACATTCTCCACTCAATTGTGTGAAAAACAAAAAAGCCCATGGGAAAAATGCTTTTTAAAGCGGGAAGCGTACTGTGTCCTAAGCCTGGCATAAATCTGGGTGAAATGCTAAACAATAAAACTAAAAACATGAAACTTTGACTGTGCGTAACAACCTAATTTAAGTTACTTTGGTCTCCAATGATTGCATAACAAAAAGCAGTTGGTGTCTAATGTAACAGCAACGTCCTCTGTGCCGCAGAACTAATTTGAATACGTAAGATGAAGAGACACACGTTATGTACAAGCATGAAATTGTGCAGCTCTCCCGTCTGATCCGTTGTTTGTTACGCTCTGCCAGCAGGCTGCTCTTTTGTAATGAAGAAGTCCTGAGACTCTCTCTGATTCCCCCTGTTGTCGTCAGAGGGACATTTTCTCAGAACTGCAACAGCTGCCAGATCTCGTGACAGATGCCAGAAGGATGAGAGAGAGACGGAGAGTACGATTGAATATTTTAAATCACAGCTCCACACTCTGTGCTCACTGTTCCGTGGTTTCAAGCCAATCTAAAATGCTGTTTCACCTGCTGTTTACCAGCTTAGGCTACACCACCACATGCAATAAGAAAATACATCTCAAGATTTCATAACTGAAGGTAAAATAACAGACCAGGAAAAACATTACGCACACATTCCTTTCCATAACCATGTAAAAGGTGATCGGTTACACAATAATCCCCAAAGCTACAGTTTCACCTACAGTGTGAGGTGAAATGTGATATGAGGCCCATTGTGGATTATGCAGGGTGTAAAAGGTCATCTTCACATTTTTGCGGCACAGCACGTGATCAATATGGGAATGCTTATATTTCATTTTTTTATAAAGAAAATAATAATGCGAAATGTAGATTATTAGAATGTTTATGTTGACCGTCTAAATGTAGCTGGTTAAACTGGCTATTTTGTGTTAAACTGGCACAGAACACAACAAAAACGAGCTGGTGGGAATGTCATTTGTTTCGTATTGGTCTTAAACCTAGGCATTTAAACACTTTGTCCCTGGAAAGGCATTAGATGAAAAGTGATAATATGTTCACAATTTAACTTCTGGGGAACATAAATCAGTGTACTAAATTTTTGGGCAATAAATGTAATACTTATCAAGATATTCCAATAAAAATGGAAATGTCAGGGGATGACCAAAGTCAGTAGAATGTATCCTCTGGGGACCATGACCACTCACAAAGTAGTTGTTGATATATTTCAGTCCAGTTTAGAGTGGTATACCAATCCACCTTTCATCTGAACACTCCTATTTGTTGGCACTGAACGTCATTTATATACAATATCATGGTTCAAAGTGTGTGTAGGTGAAGGTCTTGGATGAGCAGCAGTCGCTCAACAGTATCCCGCCAACAATCTAAACACAAAAAAAAAACAGCTCGCACAAGGACAGCTTTGTTGGCTAGCGGTTGGACTACACGGGGGTCTAAATAGAGATGACCATGATGTGGGTTTTAAGTCACAACACTGATCCTCCCCCTCATTCTAGCTAAAAAAGGGATGTTTGATGTCCCCCTCACTTACACACACATACCCTCCCACCACAAAGACTCTTCCTGCCAAGACCCCCCTTAACCAAATACAAGACAGTGTGACCCCACCTGGAGCAGCTCAAACATAGGGGTCAAACTGTACTAATGAGGAGAGCAGGGAGCCCGTGGACTCACAGCACACTCATCAAACACTGCTGCTAAGCGAGTAGATGCCAGTTTTACCCTTCTCTCTTTACCCCCCCGCCTCATCAAGGTGTCATGTTGCGAGACGAGAGGAAAGAAAAATCACTTGTTAATTATTTCCCCATAAGCTAATTACTAATGTATTGGATGTTGGAGAGTAATCTCCTTTAAATCAACTCTTTTGAAAAGAACATTTGGTCAGGAACGAGGCCAACACCTGCAAACAATTCACAGTGCCTATACATATTCTCCTAAAAGTAGGATGTAAACTTATTTCATGGTTCTCATAATATATAGCGGGTTCTTTCAGGAAAAGATGATGTCATGAATATAAATTGCTAGCATGAGTTAACTTAACAAAATGAAAAGCCTGAGGACTTGGACTACATTCTGATGGATGTCAAATATGAAAGTTATTTTGACAATGCCTTTCATCTATCCTCTTTCATTTCTTCTTCAATCTATTATTAATAGATTCATGTTTTTTTTTCTCCTGTGCTTATCTGGGGTCCTGTGGGACGGGAGGAAAATTACCCCATGGAAAACCTCTATAGTAGACGTGAGAGAGGATTTGTCTTTTTGTATGCTGAAGCTATTCAAGTGTGAGTGTATGACATGTTTTGCATAATATATATATCAGTTAAAAACAAGCTTATATTCACAAATTAAAGTCGGGTCAAGTATCGGCAATGACCAAATGTACAGGACTAGGTAGGAATAGGAAGAAATCATCTATAACAGGTCAGAACAATACTAAATCTCAAGGATGAAAATGTGTTTCTTACCGGTATTTCTACAGACTTAAGGCGCTGCACACACAGACTGTTACATCTACAAAGAATCAACTAATCTCCCTTTGAGTCCTTTCATTAGCCACTTGAACACTCCCATGGGTTTAAGCAATGTTAAAGACTCTGTTTAAGTTCCGTTGAGATGGTGGATTTCCTATAGACACACTTGCCCCGGATTACCTTATTTGAGTGTTTCATTTCTACTGTAGATGACTCAGCAAGATTAACAGAAAAGTGGGCAGCGTGTCTAAACACACTCATAGGGGTAATGATGCGAGGTAAGAGAAGAGAATAGAGAGGAGGAGCAGACAGAAGATACAGCTCATGAAGCAGATAGAGAGTAGTTGTTACAGTAGTAGCAAACAGACAAAATATATTATGATGATATTTCTACCCATGAGTTAGGAACCAACATGTGGCATAAAGAGGAGGAAAGAGACAGTGGAGACCCAAAGACTGAGGAGAAAAGGAGATAGAGATAGTAAAAGAATGCAGATTACGTTAAAGCAAAGCAGGGGCTGGACCTCCCCTGATAGTGAGAGTGACCTTTCCTGCAGGTCAGTGACCCCAGGCCTTAAAAATAGGCCCTGGGGGAGTCAGGAACCGTGCTGCCAGGGGTGATTCACAACATGGTGGACCGACATCAAACGCACCACCAACACACTTGAGGAATGTTAAAGGTGACCACACAAGACTAACTTATACATGAATACTAGTAAAACAACTGAGTTTAACATGCATATGACCTAAACAATATTTGTAGACTTTCATCTTAGGCATACTAATCAAAATATAGGTCACAATAAACTCCTCACGTTGAACATAAAAGGATGCAGTCGCTATTATTTTTACCCTGAATAACACATCTTATTCTATCTCACACCTTTGCCTTACCTCATGTTTTATACATATTTTTTTAAATCAGCATCTCTAGGTTTATACGCCGAGCTTAATTGGATCGAATGTCCTGAACTCTTATCTCTTAGCGTGCCTTCACTTGGTGATTAATTGGGATCAAGATTTTCACATCACTAATTCCGCTTAGTCGATGGGTCAGAGGCCTTGCGTTCCCCAGGCATTTTCCATGAACCAATCTGGATGTGTGCAGTTGTTATTCTTTTTTATAGGTGTGTGCATGTATATGTGTTTATGTGTATTCCAATGTGCAAGAAAAAGTGTGTGTGTGTGTGTGTGTGTGTGTGTGTGTGTGTGTGTGTGTGTGATGAGTAGGCGGACGGGCCAGCCCCACGGTGCTTCACACGCCACTGAGTCTTGTGTGGGAGTTATCACACAAACCCAATTAGCATGACAACTAATTACTGTTGCCTCGGTCCCCTCCCCCAGCTAAGCAACTCATTAAATTAAATCAACACACTGGTCTTCCTACTGCTTCCAGGGAGTCATAATGAAAAGGCTGCCGCTTGCTGTTTGTGTTTTCTAGGTATTACTTTTCATAGCGTGGTCACTTGAGTCTTTTGAAAGCTGGAGAAACTTCAAATATCAACACTGGAATTTCCTTGGGCTACAGGGAGAGAAAGAGAGAAGAAAAGGCAAGACAACTGGGAGAATGTGAGGTAATCTGTTATGTAGTCAGGGAGAACACGGAGAAAAACAAATGGATACAGAACAATCTGCTGACACCACTGTAACTCAGACCAAACATTTTCAATGGAATTGTTCACATTCTTCATGTTGCATTAAAGGGAATTAGACATTTAATTCTAAGGGTTGGCGTGTTGGCTGGCTTCCTCTCAATTGCGCACCAAATAACGAGAGCATTTCAAGTTTGTATATACAGTTTATACTAAATTCTAAAATTCTATTGATCCTCCCACACATCGGCATTTCCGAGTAGGATTTACAAAAAGTAATCCATGCTTTATTAATATAGTGGTAATTGCAGTTCCCTTTCATGTGCTCTGTGTATAAAACAGACGATGTTTAAACAAAGCATATTTCTGCTAAGCCCTGGATCCCCAGATTCTC